GTCTCCTATCCACTTTGTTTTTATTGATGAAGATCTTATTGTGTTTATGTTTTTAGCCATAGAAACACTACTTGGTATATATGTTGTGTGTGTGTGTGCATGCGTGTGTTTGCTCTGTTTTCTCAGTTGTCGTGGAGGATGGCTGCTTATACTGAGCCATGATCCTCTGGAGGTTTCTTCCTGTTAAAAGGGAGTTTTCCTCTCCACTGTCGCTACATGCTTCCTTAATATGAGGATTGCTGTAAAGACTCTGACACTAGTCAGTGACTCGATGCAGTCTGCTGGGTTACTTATACAGTAACTGATTTGCTTAATTAACTTAACTGTATTGGAAGGTTTACTGTGTGAACTGCCTTCAGACAACTCTTGTCGTCGTTTGGTGCTATATAAATAAACTGAATTGAAATTTTCCTGATTCTTTTACTTTGTCTTCTGTTAAGCATGCTTGTTCTGCCCTTTGTTAAAGGCGGTTTATAAAGTTATTATTCATAAGGTTTGAGCAGAAGGTCAGCAGGACCAGCATCCCACAGACTCTTCAGGGGGTCATAACCAGTGGGGCTGGTTAAACAAGTATGGCAGTACAGTCCAACCCTGGGGACAGGCTTCACAGAGGTCAGAAGAATCTGATGTGGAACTCAGAAAGAAACGTGTGCCTCAAACACTCGTTTATAATATTTTCAGTTAGCTGTGAGGAAACCGTCCTCTGGGTTTTTGTATAATTAGGAGTGTTTTGCATGATTTAATTAATCAGCAGAGAGATGGGAACCTCCACAAGGTATTAATTACAAGTTTCCACAGTCTTCCTTTGTTCCATCCACAGCTCACTCAGGTGGGACACGTGGTCATTGTCTCACTTGCTATGATAAAAGATGAATAACAATCCACATGGTCCAGCCCCTAATGATGCTCTGAGCCGGTGCTGCGGGCTTCTTCTAGGGGTTGTCCACACAGCTTGCCTCCAGGTAAGAACCAGTGTGCTCTATGGGCTTCACCCAAAATGGAAATGTCAAATCCTAGGAATATGGAGAGCTGCAGATACACAAGTCAAAAGCCTAAACTCACCTTAATCAGGAGAAACTTAAATACTTTATTTATTGCCCATTTCATATTCTGCATACACTACTGCTCAATACTTAAAGCATTTTTACATGTGTTTGTTTTTCTAAAGTTCATATCTGTTGGCATCAGATCTCAAGACTTTTCACTCCCTTCAAAAGACTTTTGATTAATAATTCAGACGATTATTTCTCCCACTCTGGGATGTAGTTTAGTTTTAACATTAAGACCAGATCTATCTGAGGGTCTAGTCCTCTCACCCACCTGTAGGTCACAAGTCTGAGCTGTCAGTAAGCAGCCTGTGGAGACTGATGTCCTTCTGAGACATCAGAAAAGCGTCTCATTAAATCTGTGACATTGTATCATAAAACGCAGAAAACTCATCATCCTGTGATACGTTTAATGTAATTATCAGCGGCTTAATTTCACGCTCAGTAGGAAATAAAATGAAGCTGGTCTGGAGGTGTGTGTCTAGTTTATGGAGCCTGTCGCCACACCAGATACCAGAGCCAAATCCAATTCCTGCTCCCAATCACGTCTGTCCACTTGGAGATCCCTCTGTCTGTCTGCCCTCCTGATCATTCGTCTCACCGCAACACAATCCTAGGACTCAGGGGGATCTAGGATGTCATGAAGGAAAGAAAACAACTTCTTCTAGTCTGAAGAGTCCAGCCTCATATTCATATCCAGAGGTTTTCAATCTTCCCTTCAAACACTGGCTGTCATTTTGACTTTCAGACTGTTACAGCTTTGATTCGGACCAAAAATAAAATCAATCAAAAAAAGTAGGAATCTCCTATTTAGTCTTTATCAAATCAATAAAAATTCTGGGAAAATTCAGCAGCAAAACAAAGATAAAATAATGATCGTCATCCCATACAAGACAGGAGGATTATTGTGTAATTGAGGCTCCTTTGATGATTTCCTTTCACCTCAAGGTGATGGGTCTCAGAGTTTGTGATCAGCTATTGCTGAACTGAAAACTTCCAGATTCTGATTTCAAAGATAGACTGAGTTTCTAGAACCTCCTTCCTAGAATACCCCCTTGGTAAATGAAATTACTCCAACACTCATCAGATGTGGCATTTAGGTGTTTTCCTGGAGACGTCAGTTTTTTTTTCCAAAACTGTTTTTTATTTGCTGATTATTTGTTTTTTTACAGCAGCCTGTTTAACGATATTCCAGACCGTGTTCCAGCAAAGATACCTAAAACTATCTTTCCAGAAGTGCAATGAGGAAAGAGACATGCATGTCTTCCCAAAACAAAAGCAAAGAATGAAAAAACTCTGCAAAAGCACTCCATCTCATTAGGTGTTCAAACCAAAGTTCAAAGGTCAATTATAAATCTTCTGGCCAGAATGAAAAAAGCCCCTAAAACCTAAAGAGAATTACTTCATAGGTTATTGATGCCTGAACTCTTTTCTTTTTGTCCTCGGGTGAAGCTGGACTTTTTGTCCATGACCTCCTGCACAGTTCCTGTTTCCATGGCTTCAGGCTAACCAGCCCTAATTTGTAGCCATGTCTTCTGGGGCCAATTATTAGAAAGCCAAAAGGCTGGAAACACAAAATATTGAAAAACAATGAAGAGAAACCAACAAAAGGCCTGCATTCTCAATAATGTAGAATCACTTTTGTTTTCTGCTTGGCAAGTTTTGAAGTTTTGTCTTCTTCCCCCAAGATTCTGATATAACCTGCAGATTATCATGAAATCATGAAGCTGTAGTGAGAGGCTCTGCCTCAAGATGAAGTAGAGTCAGTCAGCTAATAGACAATAATAATAATAATAATAATAATAATAATAATAATAATAATAATAATTATTATTATTATTATTATTATTATTAATAGTAGTAGTAGTAGTAGTAAAAGTAGTAGCAGTGGTAGTAGTAGTGGTAGTAGTAGTAGTAGTAGTAGTAGTAGTAGCAGTAGTAGTAGTAATAGTAGTAGCAGTGGTAGTAGTGGTAGTAGTAGTAGTAATAGTAGTAGCAGTGGTAGTAGTAGTAGTAGTGGTAGTAGTAGTAGTAGTAGTAGCAGTAGTAATAGGAGTAGTAGATTGATGGATAAATATACTGATGGATGACATCAGTCAAACATTACTGATTTGAAATTGTTACTGTTACAAAATCTCCTGCATTTTATTAGTCGAACTGCTCACATTTAATTAAAAAAATGTTTTTTGTTATTGTTGCCTGTCATGTCTACTGTGAAGTTTTGCTGCCCTTCTTGGCCATGTCACCCTTGCAAAATAGGACTTGATTTCTGGTTAAAAAGATTCAACTAAATATATTTTTAAATGAAAGATTTGGCAATTAATCTATGAATAAAAGCATCTCCAATAATACAGGTATATTATCAGTATATAAATGTGTTGCAACTAGTATTCGTGCACAGACTGATTATAAATAACCTAACCAGTATAAAAGGCATAAGAAAATAATCATCAAATAGTATGTACATGTCATTTAAAGCAAGTAGATAAAGCAATGACTGGGATGCACATGAGAATGTGTATGTGCCTGCACATAGGCATGCATATTTGCGCGCTCGCACACACACACACACACACACACACACACACACACACACACACACATACACACACACACACACACACACACACACACACACACACACACACACACATACATATATATATATATATATATACATATAAGTGTATATATATACATATAAGTGTATATATATGTATATGTATATATATATATATATATATATATATATATGTGTGTGTGTGTGTGTGTGTATGTATATATATGTATATATATACATATAAGTGTATATATATGTATATGTATATATATATATGTGTGTGTGTATATGTATATATATGTATATATATACACATAAGTGTATATACGTGCTTATCTATCTGCAGCACCGGGCTCTGACTCTCCTCAAGATGCAAAAAAGAACTGTGAGAGTCATGTTCTTCAACTTCTTAAGTGCCTTCAACACCATCCAGCCATGTCTACTGCAGCAGAGGATGAGGGTTGCAGGAGTGGACAAACCTCAACAGCAAACTGAACTGGTCCAACAACACAGATGCTCTGTATAAGAAGGGCCAAAGCCGCCTCCACCTCCTGAGGAGGCTGAGGTCCTTCGGAATTAGTTCCCAGCTGCTAAAATCCTTTCATCACTTTGTGGTTGGCTCTGTTATCCACTCTGCTGTGGTCTGTTCGGGTGCAGGCAGCTCTGACTGAGACAGGAATAGACTGAACAAGCTAGTTCACTAGGCTAGCTCAGTTCTTAGCTGCCCACTGGATACAGTTGACGAGACGCGTGAAAGAAGGATGCTGGGGAAGATGACCACCATCTTAAAATACCCCTCCCTGTGGAGACCATGGACAGCACCTTCAGAGGCAGATTGAGACATCCCAGACGTAAAATAGAACGCTACAGTTGATCTTTCATCCCCTCTGCAGTGAGAGTGTATAACTCCTCCATTTAAGCTGTACTGGCATTATCCTGTAACACAATAACACCAATGCAATATTCAGTATGTGTTCAATACTCCTGCAATACCGGATTTACATAGTATGTCCGCGTTTCTTGAAGTATGCTGCATAGTGCAGCACTATGCTAGAACCCAAGTTTTTTCTTTTTTTATTCGTGGTTACTATATTGTATTCTCATATATATATATATATATATATATATATATATATATATATATATATATATATATATACATATATATATATATATATATATATATATATATATATATATATATATATATATATAGATAGATAGATAGATAGATAGATAGATAGATAGATAGATAGATAGATGAGGGACATGAGTCTTGATATATTTAACGTATTTAATACGTATGTATAATCAAAATACACAAGAGATCAAATTCAAAGTTGATTATCTCCCACGGTTCTGCACAGCTCTGACATCCTGCGTCTGCCCTGGCGTCTCTCGTCACCGCTCGCAGCGAATCGGATTTTGCGTTTGTTTCAGAATCCGGAAGTAGGAAGTGCAGTCTGAAAAGAGCGCCATTGTTAAAACCTGAGACGTTACCTGAAGCAGGTAAGCACTGTTTCTCTTCAGAAACTCTCCTTAACAAGATGTCACGCTCGTATAGAAGTTATGTGTCTGAAACGGTTCTGGTGTAGCGAGAACTTCCGGTTGTTGAAACGGTGTCAAAGTGGTAAAGTCGATTCTGAAAGGATCGCTTTGGGACATCATGAGTAAACAGAATAAACATAAATAAACTCAGGCGCTTGCACTGATGTGGTGTGGTGTTGAAGAGTCAGCTTAGGGGGACTGGTTTCTTCTAGGACTAGCTTACTCTGGTTTAAGTAGTCCCGTGTGTTCTGATGAGCTCAGTTGAGTAGCAGGTCCAATTTGATCAGCACTTCTGGTGATCGAATAAATAACTGAGGAAGGGTTTAAACTTTCAACAGACGGACAGGAAACTGTTTAAATGGTCGTTTATTTAAGTTTATGAATTCATTCTGATTTTTAAAAGCTGCACGATTGTCTGGTTAGATAGATAGGTTCTGTAGTTGGTCTGTAGCCTGGTTCTAGTTATGACAGTTACTCTCAGTCCAGGTGATGGGGTTCCAGAGTAACAGGGCACAGGTGATCAGAAAGAATGCTAAACAGAACAAGGTAGAACCTAGGCCGTATGTAGTTCTGTAATGTATGCGTGACACTGACCCGGTCTGATCTTCTGTGGTCCTTCAGAGTCCTTCTCATCTCTGGACCATGAGTTTCTCCCCTGAACCCCCCAGTCTGATGGGGGCCAACAGTATCCAGGAGCAGAGGGAGCGCTGGGACAGGAAACGCAGTCGAACAGCCAGAGAGCTGGTTCAGACCGAGCAGCACTACTGCCACCAACTGGAACTGGTGTCCACTGTAAGTGTTACTGCATCTGGAACTGGCCAGAGACAAATTACTGGACTTCTGGTTCCTGCCTGATTCTTCGTCTTGTTACCAGAGCAGTACACAGGATGCATAGCTGTCCTTCATCTTCTCTTATGGTCTGAGCTCCAGAACCTCCCAGCATCATGCAGCAGGAACTGATGTTTCTGGGAGGTTCGAGAGTGACTGTACTGTCCATCTGCAGTCTGGTCTGGTTTTACTGGCAATGCTTTGTGATGGCCACAAAAACACTGGTTCTTCTGATCTAATCTATAATAAACCCACTGCAATGTGTTCAGGATCAGCAAAAACATCAGAGTAAATGATTCAAAACCAGATCTGCTGGACACAGAACACGGGTCGCCTTAATGGATCACCATGTTTTAGAACAGCATGGTTTAGGTTTACAATCTCAGAGATGACCTTCAGACTTGAGAGAGCTGAACTTTCTTTGGTATGGTTCACAGGTGCCCTGTTGGCATCTCCACTGTTTTTTGGAGAAATCTAGACCTCAGCCAGATTTTCCCTTAGAAGCATCCATCAGGTGGTGAAACCTCATGTCCTGTTCTCTTATTTTCTGGTTTCTTACAGTTCTTTGTGGAAATCTTGAGGGCCAAAGGAACCCTGAAGCAGGACATTAGAGACGCCATCTTCAGCTCTATTAAAGACATCCAGTCAGTGAACCAGTAAGTGTTTTCTAAAGAATCTGTGTTAGTTTGGCTCATAGAAGATAGACAGACCTGTTGGACCAAAGGGTGGTCCTTATCCTAATGACCAGCTTACTGTATTACAATGGAATTTGTTTAGGGTACAATTACTCTTTGTTTTCTTTTCTTTCTGTTTTGTCACCATAACACTCAACACACCATGTGCTTTCACATCTCCTATCTCACTATCATCTAACCTGGTGTAGGTGTCTGGAGCAGAGGGTGAAAATCTTTACTGGAACGTAAACCCTAAATGAACAAGACTTGTGATAGTCATGCAACATCAGCAGTTGTTGTCAGTGTGGATGTTGCTTTGATGATAATTTTGGCCCTTAGAGCAGCAGTAGTACTCCCTTGAGAGATTTGGAACAACGGTAGCAGAGGAGGTAAGTACCCTCCCCATAACCGGAGGGTTGCAGGTCCGAGCCCTGTCTATTGCTGTCTGTGTCAATGGGCAAAAGACTTAACCCGGATTACCTGCTGATGGTGGTTGGAGGGACTGGTGGCGTCTGTCTGTGTGTGTGTGTGTGTGTGTGTGTGTGTGTGTGTGTGTGTGTGTGTGTGTGTGTGTGTGAATGAATGACTGGTTGTGTTGTAAAGCGCTTTGGGGGAGTGTAGAACGCTAGATGGTGCTATATCAAATTAGGGCCACCGCAAATGACTATTTTAATAGCTGACTAATCGTGTCATGCATAAAAGTTTAGCTTATTGCACCAGGATGCTCTAATATACCCATCATTAGCTTCTAGTCTGAAGTGTGATCAGCTATGGGCCTTCTAATAATAAGGACAAGATGATAGCTTATCAAACAACTTTTAATTAACTTTTAATTTAATTAACTGTTAATACAAATGCTACAATCTGATGGAGGTAGACTCCTAAAACCAAAAATAAATTGTACACAAAAATGACTTGTGTTCACAAGCGGCATGGTGGCAAGGTTGAAGCGCTTCATCTTCCAATCTTAACTCAGGAACTGGCAGAACACACCAAGGTACGCCTCTGTAGCACGGCTGGTCCACACGTCAGCAGTCAGGGGACCATCGACAGCTCTGAGGGTCTGCTTTACGTAAAGATAAAAGATATTAAAGTTATTTTATTTACCTGATTATTAATTCTGCTATTTTCAGTAAAGTTGGTTAAGATTGAAAAATGTTTCATGCTTTAAAAAATATTAGTTTCTTGATTGCTCAGTCAGCAACCTTTTTCATAAAATACATTATATTGTAATGTTTATTTTATTTGTGCCCAGAGAGAAACAAAGATGAAGACACATACATGCGCACGCACACACACACCTTCAAGGTTGTTTCATATTTCTTTTCCATCATTGTGGTGAAATGGGATCATCCTGGTAGGTAGTAGTCGTGGTATCCTGGGTTGAGCTGTTTCATCATCTCTTTGAAACGTTGATCGCCGAGGAGTCTCGTGACCAACATGCTCACAATGGCCTCAGTCAGAGTGTTAGCTTGCTGAGGTGTGCACGTAACAAACTCATCCATTGAAGAGGAGCATTATTATTAACACTGTAATGTAGCGGGCTGAAATAGATTATTTGAACTATACCAAAAGAAAAGAAAATACACAAATGTTTGCATGTAAATTCTTCCTAAAATGTCATACACGGCTTTAGGGCTGCAACAAACGATTATTTGGATAATCGATTAATCGGATGGGGTCTCGACACGATTAATCGATTAATCGGATTACATGGGGAAATTTTTAAAAACTGCTAGGGAAACGTTATTTCTCTCCTTCCTTCACTTTATTTAACACAACATTATTAGAAAACAGTTCAATAGCAGAAAAACAACATGCCATCACCTAAATTGTCTTATAAGGTGTATAGACAGAGACCCTAAGCTACATCTATCTGTGACCTAAAATGCTTGGTCCAAGTTAAACAGCTTAAGGGCAATTCTCATCTGTTTTGTTTGATCTCATCTGTTGACATTTATTTTAAATGTAATTAAACATAGGCTGTGAATTAATCAAAATTGATCACTATTTCCAAAAATGACTGAAAAAATACCAAATAAAACAAAAGTAAATGAATGCCATTCTCCTTGCGATGATGCCCTGGGCAACTGCCATAAAGTCACATCAAGAAATGCTGCTGATCATTCCAATGATCCCAAATAGACTCACATTAGGCCACATGAAAGCAACTGAACCCAAAAATATATTAACCAGTATATAACTGCACTCTCACACAACACGCCTGCAGCAACAGTTAGGACTCCTCCCTCCCTTTTAAAAGCGTTTTTGCTTCCGAGGACATTGTGGTTGTAAAACCACATGCTAGTAGTCTGGCCCCGGTGTGATCAACCAGTTTCTGCGGGAATGTGACGGCGGAACCAGGGCCAGATTAACACTTTGTTGTACCCTGGGCAACAATATTCAAGGGCTCCATCATCACGACCCAAGGATCACCATAATGTGGTCACATACAGAATATTTTACTGTAATATGCAGTAAATATACTCAATACTTGAATGCCTGACAACACATAACCCGCCCAGAGTAACCTTTGACCCACCTCTTGTGGACTGACCAATGAGGAGAGGGTCTTAACTTGAGGCCCTCTCTTCATTGGTCAGTCTGCATGAGACTGACTCTCAACTGACATTCGAAGTCATAGTCAGCAAAGCGTCTCTGTGCAGCGCAAAAGCCCGGGTGGACAGTTTGTTTAATGTAGGGTGATCATATTTCCATTTCCAAACAAGAGGACAGGGGATCTGTGCCTATGATGTCACACTATGGCAACGCCACACAAACCATGTTGGGACCCATTTTTTGTAAGAACTAAATTAATATCAGATTCTGCCAATAAAAGGGCTCTAAAACAATTCATATGTAAATATTTTGCATATTTAATGCAAAATCTCATTTTTATGCTTTAGTGCTGCAACAAGGTTTTATTAATAATAAATTATTATACCTTTTGTTTTACTACAGCATCGGTAAGCTTCCTGTGCACAGATTATTAAGGATGCTTGTTTCAGCTGTGAGATTAGACGATAGGATCAATGATAAAATAAGTTGTCACACACTCCATGGAAACTTTCAGATAATCCACAAATAGTGGCTTTCAAATGGTTTTGTTACTTTTTGCAAGTTTAGAAAAGAAGCTGATGAGACAGCATGTCTGATAATTTAGTTTTTCATCTGATATATTAGAACATGTCAGTAATGTCTGAGGGGCTTTTATAAACACCATATAACTAACACTACTGGAGAGGGTATGAATTACACAGAGGCTTCTGGGGAGCCCAGTTATGGGGGGGGGGGGGGATATGGGGGGGAGACATTTTGCCTTGGCCCCCAAAATGTCTTGAAACGGCCCTGGGTGTGTGACTGAGTTTTGAAGGTGATCTGAATTGTATCAGATGTATAACTATGACATGTGTATAACTTATTGTTTTTTACTGGTAAAAACGTGTAGTGGAGATAAATCTACCTACATTTTACTTTGTTTTCTTGTTTTTATTTAACTATTTTCCTGTCCTGTCTGTCTCTCATCTTCCTGCATCTCCTCATAATTCTCCAGAAAATCTGTTGCCTGGATTCTTACTTTTTCACCTCATCAGTTACTTTTGAGCAGATCAAAGAGATCTCCTGACCGCAAAGCGGAGAGCGCGTTTTCGATGCTGCGTGAGGTGAAATCACCACAGCACAGGTGATGAGCTCCGCAGCAGAGCGCTTCAGGCACAAATAAGACAGAAAATAGAGAACATGTGCAGACAAGAACGATCGTGTGCTAATTATAGTTTTTTGGTTGCGCCACTTTGAGAATGGACCGTGCGCTGGAAGCAGCTGCCTGGATCGCTGTGCAACAATGCGGAACCGGTTCGCAGCAGCGCAAGTCTGCAGGCTCTCCCTCGCGCTGATCTGCCTGTACCGGCTCTCCCTCGCGCTGATCTGCGGCTCTCCCTCGCGCTGATCTGCGGCTCTCCCTCGCGCTGATCTGACTTGTTCTGGTCTGCGCGCAACGGTGGGCGGGAAGGGGGGGGGGGGGTGCGCTTTTGGAAGAGTTGTGCGACACAACGAATCGATGACGCAATTCGTTGCCAACGCTTTTAGTAATCGATTTTCATCGAATTCATCGATTCGTTGTTGCAGCCCTACACGGCTTTTGAATATTGAGATATTGCAGGAATAATTATCGCGATATATTGCCATAATTGCCATCCCTAGTTTGAAGTGTACCAGAATATAATCCCTGAAACTCCAAACATGTGTTGAATCAGCACAGCTAGGGTACCCACAGATCTGAAGTGCTTCTTTGATGTGTTTGTGTTCTCTGTTCTTCTTTCTTTACTTGTGGGGTCTTGTTTAGCTCAATGCTGCAGAGTTAAACGGCGTGTTGATGAGCTCACTGTGGTTGGTTTGGGTTTCAACAATGCTTTGAACATTTTGACAGAAGACGTGCAGATCTGTGGTTTTCTAGCTTTACCAAAACTGCTGCCAAAATCTCAATTCACTAAACTGAGGGAACAGATTTTGAAGACCTCAGATTACATTCAACTGCTGCCAGGATCTGGACAACACTTACCATGAAAAGATACAGACAAGATGCAACACCTTTTGTAGTAAATGCTCTTTCAGAGTTGGTATTGGCAAACAAAGTCAGCACAAGCTGTTTTGGTCAACAGCTCATTTGATCTGCATTTTGACTTATAAATCTATCATTCTCAGTGTCAAAGCACTCGTTTTCTACTGGAAAAGGTCAAATGGAAATCTTTCAGTTAGCAGTCAGCCAACAAATATAAAATGGTAAATATCGGCTTCTCGTTTTTTAAGAAATTATATAGGGTGGGAGCTAATATATGGTGGAATGTGTTTAGATATTCAACAGATGTTTTTCCTTTGATAAAGTTAAGAGTGCAGAATGCCTTCCTGAATCTGTTTGTTGCTTGAACTTCATCAGAAGACCTGAAGAAACTGACGGATGGCATTCCTTAGAGATGGTCTCACTCTGGCAGTTTTACAAGGAATTCATTAAAATGGAAATAGATTTAAAATTTTATTATGAACATCAGTTAGGATGTATAACAGAAAATTGACACTTAATGAAAAGCAGTTATTTTACTCTTTTATTTTTTTGCCTATTTTGTTGGTTTATTAGCAAACATTTGATTCTTTAAACCACAAAAAACATGATATCTGATTTGATGACATAAAATAATAATAAATCATGAAATCTTGGACAATGTTTATAATGATACAAATTTATAACTATTATAAAGTGGAAACATCAACCTTGACGGGGACTGGAACGTGTAGATGTTAGCACCCTGGCCTTGGGTTCATCCTGGTTCTACACATAACACATGTATGTTTGTATTGTTGCAGAGCTGCTCATCGGTGGAACTTTATTTATTTATTTGAGTAACAAAAACGACTGCAGACATGGAAAGCAGGCTGTGGTTGTTTTTCTCAGGAAGGCTGAGTTCATGGGGAGGTTTTAAACTGTAGTGTTGAGATGGAAAGCCCTCCAGGCTGAAGATCAGAGGAACTCGTACAGATTTAGTTTCATGATGAATTCTGCAGCATGGCACATTTCCAGAGATGAAAGTAGGAAATGTTTTGCTCGTGTGCTCACTTTTAAAATCTTATTTCTCATCATAACTTTTAGCTGAGAGGGAAAATTCCAGGAAGCTGGGGTTTCCTGCCCTTTGCCCTCGTTAGAGACTTCTGGGCTGCTTCTGTGTCTCCTGATTACGTACACAACACCTCAGCTAGTAACTTCATTAACATCTATTTAGATCAACTTCAGTAGCAAAGCGCTTTTTTTGACAGGATGTGTGAACAGGAGGCGTTGTAGAATGTCTCTGGTACATCAATAGTGTGTGTGTGTGTGTGTCTGTGTGTGTGTGTGTGTGTGTGTGCGTGCGTGCGTGCGTGCGTGTGTGAGTGAGTGAGAACCAGAACACAGAGTTTAGTCTAGTAAAACGTGCCTGACAGGCTGATTGACTGTTCTCTCTCCCCCTTGATGCAGATGTTCTGTTCCCTGAGTTTAGCACATCTCCTCATAGTGGTTCTTGGTTCCCTGAAGGTTCCACTGCCTGATAGGGTTTAAGAGAGCTCCTCACCCCTTCAGCTCCTAAACGGTCATCTGAGCCAGCTTTCTTGTTTATTAAACATGTATACATGTGTGGTCCAGACTCTTAGGTTATTAAATCACTGATTTAACTTCTGGGAAGCTATATTCTCATCATATGCTGCCATACTGTGCTGTCTCAAACCTGAGCCACCACCTGCCTCCTTTCCAACATGTTACAGGTCCAAATAAAAACTATGAAGCATGTATAATGTTTGGAGATCACCAGTTTAGTTGAATGCTTGTCTTCTCTATTGTAGATCTCTACTGGTCCATTTGGAGAATGGCTACCTGGGCCAGGGTCTGGACAAGTTCTGTTCACACTTGGACCACTACAGCAAGTATGTGGATAACATCTACAATGCCAAGAAGGTGCTTGAGGTAGGTCTACTGACTTCCTGTTTCCTGTTTTGTGTGGTATTCAATCTTTTTGTCTAGTTGTTAGCTATGAATAGCTGCTAATGATTGTAGTTTGAAGTAGTTTTGGGATTATTAATCTACTTACAGCCATGCTTGTACCAAATGGTTTTCTGAGTTACATAGACCATGATCCAAAAACCAAAGTATTCACCTCAAACTCTGTTTTGCCATTTTTATTAAATGCAATCAAACTATTCGAAACAAAACCATGTTCTTGCAGCAGCAAATGATCAGTAGGTTTTAGGACAGGGGTGTCAAACTCATTTTAGCTCAGGGGCTACACTGAGGGAAATCTAGTCCCAAGTGGGCCGGACCGGTAAATTAAAAACAGCTTCAGATTGTTTTCTTTGTATTAATACAATCAATATAAAACAAAGCTGGAGCCTGAGGACAGTGTATCCAAAATAGTACAAGTACAACATCTGAAGTGTACTTGAAAATTTGAAAAAAAAAAAAAAAATCAATTAAAGAAAACATTCCTTAGTGATTCAAAGAGCTTACAGATCACATGGCTAGATCAGTTTCATGCAGCACTTCAAATATATTTGACTCATTTTACTTTACATCTTTTAGCTTTCACCAGCACATCAATATCAGAAGTCACATCCTGAGTGGCAGCCAACTTCAGGATGTGATTCAAGTTCTTGTGTGAGCCTTGAGCACAGCTTTGTTTTATTTATACTCATTACAGAGGAAACTTGCTCACAAGTTCACTCTACATTGTAAAGTATGAACATAAAGTTTACACAACCATCTCGCGGGCCGGATTTAACCTGCTTGCGGGCCGGATCCGGCCCGCGGGCCGCATGTTTGACACCCCTGTTTTAGGATCAGTACCACAGTATTTATTCACCATTACCATATTTACCGTCAGTAATCAATTAACACCAGAGACCAACAATGCGGCCAGAACAAAGATCCCATTTTGGATCATACAGTTAACTTTAAGATAAAAATAAAAACAAAAGGGGTTCTACAACAGAACTGAAGCCAGGAGGACAGCAGCACTCCGGACTGCTGGATGGCACAGCCTTTTATCCCAGGTGTGGGTCATCAGTGGGACTCGGCTCAGCTGTGCTCATTAGCAGCCTGGAGGAGAGGAGGGGCGGTGTCTGGGACGATCACAAGGGCTGGGAGGCTCTGGCTCCCTGGGTTGAAGGTGGCCAGGCTGTTGGCCATAACAGGGTCTTTACTTTAAAGGTGTGGTTCACTGAAAACCCATTTTAAACATGAACATAGACTCTTGCACCTATCACCTATGCATTAGCTTCTGATAGAAAATAGATGGTGAAACACTAGAACTCGAAAATCCTGACAGACCTACTTCACACTGTCACTTAACATTCATGGACTCACCCATCTTGACTCACGATGGGGAATGCTGTGGTTGGTTTAACGTTCAGGAAACAGCAGCAGACGTCTTGGCTGGTAGAAGCTAACTTTTAGCATTAGCAATTTCACCACATGGCAGAAGCTCCTCCCAGATTGTGTTGTTTGTGGAGATAAAACCTCCACGTTGCAAGCCAGCGGTAGAGTTGCGTTGCTATTATCCAATCCGGGGCGAGATTAGGGCTGCACCGATGGATCGGCATTTGATCGTAATCGGCCGATAGCGCCCCTATCGGTTTTGATTGGAGTTTTCAAAATGGATCAAAGCAGACCGATCAGGTAGGGTTGTCACGGTAACCGGTGTAGCGGTAAACCCCGGTAAAAAAAAAAAGTTGACAATAATAATAACCGTCTTGTTTTTTTAAGAACTATATTATCTTGGTGGGTTTACCGTGGCTGCGGTGTAGGCGCAGTGACCCTTACCAGCCACCGTATCATCTGCTGAATTTGCCGGCGGCACATGCGCGCTTTGTTGTTTACAACCAAAACTTTCTTGAAGCTAAAGCTGAAATAATGGTCAAAGGAGGAGACGGCAGCGCTCAGGAGGACATTTTTTATCCCTCAAAGAAGACAAAGTCGGAAGTACGGGCATATTTGAGATATTTGAAGAATGCCGAGGGACAGTTGATAGAAGACGGCTATCCTGTTTGCAGCACGTGCAGAAAAAGTGTCTGTGAAAGGCAGCAATGCTTCAAATCTCATGACACATCTGCGTGACCATCACCCACAACTCTACAGTTGACGCAAGGCAAGTTAACGTTAACGTTTTAGCTAAAATGCGTGATCCTAGGATTTGGGTTGAGGGAGAATGCAACGAGTCGCTATATAAAGCAGCCGCAGCGCCGCTACCTGCATATAAACCGTGTTGCGGACACCCCCATGTTGAAATGACGCTATGCATTACGGGGCTCCCAGGGGCAGATAAGAGTTGGTCTCTCTCCGAGAATAATTATGAATTTAACAATGATTACTGCCTGATGACATTTTCCCAAATCTGCAAAGCTCACTGGAAGGACACAAACCGAGGACAATATTTTCCTGATATAGGGTTTATTACTCAAGTAAGGGTAAAAAAGTATCTGATTAGAAGGCTACTTGAGTACTGAGTATCATCTGATCTAATATTTTTAAAATAATGACATCAAACAGACAAAAAATAAGAAGTTGGTATTTTAAACATGAACATAGACTGTTGGTATTTTAAAGACTAAAGGGAAAAAATGTAAACAAATAAACAACATAATTACAAAATAACACATTTTAGGCAAAATTTAGACACAAACTGAGGACAATATTTCCTGACATACAGGGTTTATTTAATTGTGTGAAAATGTAGCACGTTTAAAAAAAATACCGCGATAATACCGAAAACCGTGGTAATTTTGGTCACAATAACCGTGAGGTTAAATTTTCACATCGTGACAACCTTAATACAGACCATTTTAGATTAGGTTACATTTCCTTTATTCCCAGATTATGTAGTTTGTAGCACTCATTATAATGTTGTAGAAAATTTCTGGCCAATCCACGTGATCGGTATCGGTGATCGGCAGCAAAAAACCTGACCGGTGCATCCCTAGGCGAGATGTCCAAATATCAGGAAATAAGACTCCTAAACCTGCCATCTGCAGCTCAGCTGTGATGTGGGCATTCATTCCTTCTAGAGACCACTGCAAATGTATTGATTAAACGAGTGAACCACTACTTTAATCTTGAGTTTAAGTCAAAGTAACTGGGCTTTTCTGGTTATCTTGAAGATGCTTTGCCCTCTGTTATTGTTTAAGGTTTGCAGAAAGCTCCTTTTTTTGTCTTTATCATGTCCGGCTAGTGGACCTTACTTTCCTGGTTCTTTACTACCATGACACACTCGAACTCTGCTCCTGATACACTCCCAAAAATGAGCATCATTCAGTACGTTGGTTTAAATTGGTTTAAATAGAAAAATGATACAAATAACACACCTTGCCCCCCTGAAGCCACCCTCTGTGGTCATCGGTCAAATGGACCCAGAATCTTCTCATACATTGGTTTTTATCCTTAGCTCGGCCCCACCCACTTAGTGACATGGTTCATTTCAATTGCAACAGTACAAGGAAGTTTGTAAGGACTTGGCTGTATGACACATCTAATATTATATGGAAAGATGTGGATATCATTAGGGTGTTGCAGCAAATCTGAACTGAAAGAACAAGCTGTGCCAACCTCTTTAAAGTGGACATATTGTTCCACACGGTCTGATAGAAAGCTGAGTGACGTCAAGTAAAGTGACCCAGCGCTCTGAGAATACTGAAATTATCCATTGCTTCTTGTCTAAGAAGCTTCTGACGTTCTTGGTTGAGAGGCAAACCATCTTCAAGATAACCCAAAAAGTCCAGTTGTTTTCAATTAAACTCTCAAGGTTATCATGTCCTGAATGACTGAGAATCTGCACCACAAGGGGCCATTTTGGTCTGCATTTTTTGAATCCAAGAAGTGGCTTAAATAGCAGTTCCACTCTCATCCACTAGGGGTTAATAGATGTTCAGCCATTTGGACTCTCTGAACTTTAGTTGTGTCCTCTGTGTGTTTGGATGTTAATCATTGAATGATTAAAGGCAAGATGTGGTAACTGACTGCACTAACAGGTCATCCAAGCAGTTTCTGCTTCTTTTTATCAGTATGTAAAATTGTATTTCAGAGTACTTTATCTCACTGGTTGAATGGGGGGTAAATGCAGTGTCATGTAACAGCTTGGTCAAACATGTTAGTAGGGCTGCTGGCTGGATAAGAAACTTGAACGGGTGTCTGGTTTCTCCTGTCTGCTGCCCAGGATGCACGCACCGCTCTGATTCGAGACTGTAGTCATGCTGGTCACTTGTGGATCTCGGAGGGAGTCCACAGAAACACCACAGCTCTTTCATTGGACGCTGCTTCACTTTGAAGTCACTCTACTACGTTTTTCTTGCTAAAAATGCCCGGAAAAACTCTGTTAGCTTTGGGTTAGCATGTAGCAAATGTCCCGCTGATCTCCAGCTGTGGAGCATGAGCTGATGTAAAAGGCCACAGTGCCCGGCCACGTTTGCAGCAGTCTGAGGCTCTCCTTGTAATTTAACAGTCCCAGTCCATATTAGATCTCCACAGGCGACCAACATGACTACAGTCTCGCACGGAGGCCGGTCGGCCGTGCAGGTGGGCTTCCCCGAAGCCCTTCTTAGCTTCTTGGGTTAGCTAAGTTAGCTAGTGGCTACATTGGTTCATTTGTTCCAACTGTAACTGTGCCACCCTCAGCATCACCTCTTTTCCCATTTTTGGATTTTCTGGGCGTGATGAGACGTGTGACAGTGGTGGGAACCTCATAATTTTGGCTTCAACCTGGCCCTCGCGGAACAACGGGCAGACCAGCGTCTTTATTTTAAACTTCACTGAGATCACATTTAGGAGACTTTTTTTTTCTTTTTTTGCTTTAATGATTCATATTAGTGAACAAGATAGAGCTAAACTGTTGGAGACCTTCAAAAAGCCTCAGTGAATAATTACTTAAGCCCTTTAAAAGCAATAAAACAGAATGAGGGACTCTGATACCACAGTATTTGTCTTTCCTACATGTGGTGAGTAATAAGAGTTTGCATCTTATTCTGTCTTAGATCCAGCTGAAAAAAAACAAGGCCTTCAGACGGTTCAAAAAACTACAAGAAGCTCGACCAGAATTCAAGGACCAGAAACTGGAGGACTTACTTCAAACACCCGTCCAGCGAATCCTTCAGTAAGTCTGCTGATCATGATTACATTTAATCCCGCTGTGCTTCTGTGGAGCCTGGACTATATACTTCAGTATGGTGGCTGGTAGTTAGTGGTCTCAGGTTTATGCTCTTGGAGCTCATATTTATAACAGTTAAACACCTTAAAATGACCTTTTCTTAACTGTGTAAGAAAATAACAAAAAAATGAATAAAGAAGATAAACACAGAATGAACGTACAAAAGAGTTTTTAAATGACCTTATTTAATTATTGCAGAAGTTTAAATGTTGTTCTTACCTGTCCCATTGGTTCATGTCAACCAAGCAATAGCCCCCTATTTAGGAATTGATTTTGATAGGATCGTTTTTGTCCTGAAAGCAGAAAAGCTGTTTAAATGAAGATAAACGAGTTATTAGGACTCTAGTTTTTTTGACTTTAGTGTTTTATTGTGTCATTGTTTTAATGTGTTCTTAGTATTTATCATGTTTAATCTGCTTTTGATTGGGATTTTTATCTTCTGTTTTAGTTCCTTCAAATGGTTGCGTTTTGTTTTAGCCTGTGCAGCACTTTGGGCAGCTCCCATGCTGCGTTTTAAACATGCTATATAAATAAACTATGGTATGGTATGGTATATATGTGATTAGTATAATTGGTGTTTGTTGACCGCTGATGTGGTCCTTTGAAGCCATACTATGCAACTTTCCATATTTTTCAATCAATTTCTTGAGCTATTATGTACTATAATGACACTTTATAGAGTTAATGAAATGTCACTCAGACCCTCACCGCCCTCTTTGGCCAGAATACCACATTTGCAACTTCAGAGTTCCAGTCCGGTCTATTGGACTTCGAAAAAAGAGAACTAACATACCTGGCGCTGCAGTCTGCTTCCAGCACGTTTCCTCATCTGGTTTGTTTAATTTAGTGACAAATCACTCCTGTATACACTACACTAATGACGGCTGGGAGACATTTCAGATGTTAGATTAAGGTGTTAAAAAGATGAATGCACAGTAAGGCTGCACAATACATCGTAAATATATTGTTATCACAATATCAGGATGCACAATATGTATATCGCAAAGAACAGATAAATATCGCAATGAACGGTCAGCTCAAATGTTTGCTACACAATTTATTCTGTCAGTCAAATGGAAGCATGATGTTTTTTTAACACATCAAATAGAGCTCTTCACCCATTTGGCCAATCGGGTGGGTTCTCATAGGTCAGATGCCCGCCCCCGAGGCAGACGGCACTTAATTTAGATGGTTAGCAAACACCTGATTTAGCTTTGCTCTGCTCTTTCTGCTGATTCTGCTTTTCCCGGGATCCACGGATTTCATTTTCTTTTTCCCTTTCCTCACATATTTTGCTTTTCTCATTTTTATGATTTTTTTAGTTCTTTGTTTTTGATTAATTTTATTCCTGAGTTAAGTTTTTATTTATCGCAAGTAATATCGTCATCGCAATATTAATCACTGTTATGGAATATCGCAGGTTTTCCTAATATCGTGCAACCCTAACGCACAGCGAGAAGATACGTTTAGCAAAAAGCAAGCAAAACTGCCAAATGTGCGTTTATTGAGGACCAACCCTGCTGTTTCCTCTCTGACTTGATGATGATGGTAAATAGCTTGTATTTTTATAGGGCCTTCTAGGGTTCTAAACTCCTCTGCCACTATTTTCCCACATAACATTTGGAGGTCTGATTTTGGTGTTTTGCTCCAGAAATTTCTGTTCAGACACACAGATTCTTGTGTTCTATAAGAACCAGGAGCATGCTGGGATAAGACCATAGTCTGACTCCTTCATTAGAGGGAAATGTTGACCACTTGATAATCACACACACACACGCACGCACACACACACACACACACACCCTGTGTGTGCCTCCAGAGTCTGAGGCTCCACAGTCTACCGTCATCGATACTGGTGTGTTTCAGTGGCACCGCTGAGTCTCAGAACCAGTTCTGACCAGACTGAAGAAGGCTCGAAGGCAGAGACAGGCGCTGAAAATCAATGTGACCGTCAAGTTGCTCTGGGTCACAGGATCCTGCAAAAAGAACAAACACTTGTGACTTTCGTACTTTAGAGCCTATCGATGTTTGGAACAGTGGTTCAGAGTCTCATCTGGGCCCGTGTGTGTGGAGGCAGCTCTGAAACCAGTCCTCTACTGGGCGCTTTATATTGTGTTCTTAGTGTGTTCTGACAGTTGTGACCAACTGGTGCGGTGATTCATAAAGTTTAAAGAGACCCAGGACACATTTGAGTCACAAAGTGATAAAACCATCTCACAAGTCTGCAGACAATGAAGTAGGCCAGAATCTCACGCAGCTGTTCATTAACATCAAAATAATTATCAGACTTATATGAAGACACTGGTTTGTTAAACTAGTGGTTCCAGCTTCTGACCATAAAATAACCATGACTACGATTTGTGAACCCAAATCCTGACAGTTTACTTAATTAAATCCATGCTTTCGTTCTTTTTTAAACACAGAAACAGTTTTGTTTACCTGTTTTTAGCTACAGTTTCGCCGACGGCTGCCGGCTTCTTCAGGCTGACGCTGCCTGAAGAAGCCGGCAGCCGTCGGCGAAACTGTAGCTACAAACAGGTAAACAAAACTGTTTCTGTGTTTAAAAAATAACGAAAGCATGGATTTAGAAAGACACAGCAAGAACACACCTAAGATGTTACTTAATTAAAGCTGAACAAGCAGAGACTCACTGAAAACACACAATCTTCAAGGGCTATTGAATGTTAGCAATCAAATATTCTATCGAATCCTCTGTTGATGGATCGAACATTCTATTTGACAACAGATCAACTGAAACGAGACTGTGGTCCGCTGCTTAAAAAATGAAATTAAAACAACAAAATTATAAAAAGCTCAGTAATATGTATTAAATTGGTGTTTTCTAGTTTCCTTTTTATCATCTGATATTTATAATTAATACATATTTTATGGAAAATATTTGACTTGCATTTCATTAGCATTTTAAGTTTTTTTTTTAAATAGCACTCATCCTAGTCTAAATAACATATCTAAATATGATCTACATAAACTACTGGAAATGCCAATAACATGTAATTTCTACTGGTAACAAAGTAATGGTGGCATATCTATTTTGTTTATATAAGGATTGGGAATAATCCAGTCTAAATAGAAGCATTTGTGAATTACATGCTACAACGGCTTGCCTTATCCCTGCTGCAGTGTGGAGCAGAACCTCTGCAGCAACCTGACTCCAGGTAGCTGCAGAGGTTCTGCTCCATGCAGCTGCTACAAAGAAACAGGATGGGAAGATTTTTCTTCCACTTTAGAGTTTAGTTTTTCACAAACATCAAATTTTTTCCGTGAAAAGAAACATGCTTCTGGATGCGTGCTTCAGTTGGAGCCCCATTAAGGTGTGGTTCACTTGTTTAATCAGTACATTTGCAGTAGTCTGTAGTAGGAATAAATGCCCTGTAAGTCATTCTTGCGGGGGTATTTATACCAGTGCACTATTTCCAGGAGACCCACTACACAGCTGAGCTTCAGATGGCAGGATTAGGACTCTTATTTCCTGATATTTTGACATCTCTCCTCAAATTGGATAACAGCAATGCGACTCGACCACTGACTTGCAACGTGGATGTTTTTTCTCCTCAAATAACATAAGTCTGGAGGAGCGTCAAGTGGTGAAGTCGCTAATGCTAACAGTTAACTTCTGATAGTCGAGACGTCCTCTGCTGATTCCAGGACTCTAAATCAACAACAGCGTTCACAGTCATGAGTCAACTTGGGTGAGTCCATGAACGTTAAGTGACAGTGTGATGTAGGTCTGTCAGGATTTTCAAATCCTAAAGTTTCACTGTCTATTTTCTATCAGAACTAATGCAGGAGATAGGTGTAGGAGACTATTTTCATGTTCAGCCTGCATGAAAAACTCAGAGTGATTTATAATCAGAAATAATCATAAAAAATGGGTTTTCAGTGTTCCACACCTTTAATGTCCGCTGAAGACTAGAAATAGAGATCATTTATTTCCTCTGGTGAAAGAACAATAGGTGTCCATGAAATACATGAAAGTATTTTCCCTATATATTTGATGCGCAGGCCCCTAATAAATAAAAATCTGCATCAGATTCAAATTCTGGTCCAGACTTTTCTGTTTGATTTAATAAAGTTTCTGTTTCTCTCTTTGTTTTTTCTTGTTTGGGTTTTATTATTGTTTTATTGTATTTTATCACGTGTTTTCTGTCAAGTGACCTTGGGTGTCCTGAAAGGTGCTTTTAAATAAAATGTATTATTATTATAAAGTTGATGGCAGTTTTGTATTAAAACCTTTTTTTATTGTGTTCTCTTTTTACACATCTAGAGCTATGCTGTAAAATGTGTTGAGAGACTGGGTGGGTAACCTTTGACCTTTGTGATTTTTTTTTACAGGTATAACCATTTCCTGCAAGACCTGACTGCCAACACAAGTCCAGATGACCCAGAGTTTGAACAACTTTCCAGTAGGTGTCTTTTTTAACCACTTTTACTCATCTGTCGTGTCCTCTTTTCTTTCCTTCTCCATCGGTGGAGTTTTTACAGGTGGAATGCCATAACAACAGGAGGTGTAATGTTCACTACTCAGAAACACAAGATGGACGTTAACCTGTTTGGACACATCACAGCTGCACAGAGTTTCAGATCGTTTGATTGAAACAACCACAACAACATTTCTCATCATTCGAGGATTCTGGTTTAAAATCTGGGATGAAAGGCAATGGGTGGAATGAGGAATTAACTTTCCCTTTCCTCGTCTGCTGTAATTGCTGAAGCAGCAGTCGGCTGTTGAGAAAATGGACGGAGGAGAAAGCTGAGAGTCGTAGTTTGATGTAGATTTGAACATAATTATTAGGGAGTGCATCAGAAGGGTTAATTAGGGGCTGCATTCATAAGTAAAGACTTTAACATCAACACAGATCTCCATAATGAATCATTTCAGTTGTCAAACCAGATCTGACTCAAGTGCAAACCTACAAGGAATTATTCATGTATATTAATTAAAATCCAGTTTCTTCCTAATGAAAACTGCTTCTGACTGTTAGATGGCAGTGAGTCATGCTTTTCTCTCCTTATTTCATTAGAGCTCTTTGTTTAAACATGGGTTTTGGCGAGTCCTGATTAAATTCTGGAACAGAAAAAATATATATTTTTTTCCCTCTGACTATTGAAATGTGTTTCTCAGTTATGCGTCTGTACTGTTGTCATGTGACACATTACTGTGACTGAATGTATGTCCACAGAGAGACGGTCAGTGGCTGCGGAGACGATGAATAAGCCTGCAGCATGTTTATGTAGTCCTGCTTACAGAAGTTGTCATCGATGAATGATAATGCATGTGTGTGTATGTGTGTGTTGTAGAGGCTGTAGCAGCAGTGAGTGAGGTGTCTCAGCGTATCCAGGACAACACTCGGAAGCATGAGAACCACCTGCAGCTTTGCAGAGTGCAGAAACTCATGAAGGGGCGAAAGACGAAGGTGATGGCTGCAGGTTAGACTGATTTGTTTTATCTCCTTGATGAACTGCCTCCATCTCCTCAACACTACTCTATCTGCTGCTCAGAGACCTTTCAGGAACATGCTGAAGCTACCGGAGCTTCATCAGCACTCAGCATGTTTCAGTAATAGTGTTAGTAACTGTACAATCTGTGCGTGTGTGTGTGTGTGTGTGTGTGTGTGTGTGTGTGTGTGTGTGTGTGTGTGTGTGTGTGTGTGTGTGTGCGTGCGTGCTAGCACGTGCGTGGTAGACTTCCTTGTACTTGGAGTGGTGGCTCTTTTCTTCCTGCCACTCCTCCTTTTGTTTGCCTCTGGAGAATCTGACCTGATTGTTGCACCGCTCGCCCTGCCAATCTCCCCACGGACCAATTAGAGTCCAGCTCCATCCTCCAGACCAAAAGATAAAAGGAAATCAGTCTGTGTGTGTGTGCGTGCGTGCGTGCGTGTGTGTGTGTGTGTGCGCGCGCGTGTGCGTTCACTCGTATGATTTGAGTAAACTCATGTGCACAGACACACAAACTGAATGTGTTTGTCTTCTTGGGTATGCAAGCCTTTTAACTAGTGTGTGTGTGTGTGTGTGTGTGTAGTGAGTAGCAGCTCATCTCTTTAATGCCTGTATTGAAACTTTCTAAAGCTTCCTCTCACAAGTCCACCAGCTCCCTCTTCAGCCAGTAAAGCTCCAGTCCCACCAGACAGACTTCAGAGCTCCACTCAACAGCCTCCCGTCGACCTGTTCTCCTTCCCATCATTACCTTCTCTGGGGTGTGTGTGTGTGTGGGTGGGTGGGGGTGTTGAAGCCCATCTAACATATTAAATAGCTCTGTAAGACCAAGTCTGATCATGGACACAGAAAAGTGTTTCTTCAGACTTTGGCTGTTATAAAAAAAATAATTTATTCAACTTCTGAGCAGCTTCGTTCCGCACGGGTCGTGGGTCCGTCGATGAGACGCACATAAAGACAGACAGGACATACAACCATTCACACATTAACTCCTGGTTTGTTCTGCTCATCCAGTTCCCACCATAGCTTCTACTTCAGGATTCATTTGGGTCATAGATGCATCACGTGCTGCTGGAGCTCCATCCAGCATGCCGACTACTACCACATCCCTCAGTCTCGATTAGCCTCTGTTTATGAACCGTTTGATTTATTGGTAGTGTGTTAGTCTCATTTAGGGACGCACCAAAAACATTGGGTGGTAATCTTGATCAACCAACATTCATTAGTATCAGTGTAATCTGTTATCGCCCTGTCTGAAACTCTAAATGTGATTTTGTTGCTGTTTTTGAACACACCATTGGCAGCAAGCAGTAATAAAAATCAGGCCGTGATCCAGGAACTCACCTTTGCACAGTGCTAATTACTGTTAGCTCTAACAGACCATCTTGTGAGGTTTGTACTTCTAGAATTGGAATATTCAGGTTATAAAATTAAAAAGAAAAAATGTATTGTGTTAAAGGTCTCGTTCACAGAGAAACCGTATATAACACTTTTTCTTTTTCAAAGAAGTTCGCTCACGAAAACGATTGAGTCAGCATACGCCTGTTTCTTTGACATCACAGAGAGAATTAGCATTGATGGACTCTCCCACCCTGGCTTGCGACCACCCGAGGGAAGGCTGAGATTTATCCACGAATGGTTTTTCAGTGTTCCACACCTTTAAATGTGGGTTACACATATCATGAATATTAATGAGTAGGACTCATAATCCTGTGCTTCCCACCCCAGTTCCTCCTAATCATTTCTACCCTCTGAAAAAGCAGCACCAGAGATTATTTCCACAGAAAACTACTAATGTGTTCATTCATACTAGAGACCGCAGCAGATTTAGTGAAAAAGACGAGCGAATGAGTTTTATTACTAGTTTTCAGGTAAACTGCTATCGCCCCTCAAAACCAGAATACGTACATTTTTAAGTCTCGTTCAGTTTGACAAAAAATAAGCAGCTTCAGTCTGACTTAGATTTTTTTTACTTTTTCATATATTTTTTTCTTCTGCTTCTTCATCCCTCTGGGGATTTTTTTTATCTACATTTGACCCATCCTTATTTGTATCTTGCCTAGGGGGTACCTTTGTGACTCAGCATCTTGCCCAAGGATGCCTTGGTACGTGGCCTGCTGGGAGATGGGATCGATCCCATGACCTTCAAATCATGGGATAACCATTCTCCCATGACCCCCCCCCCCCCCCCCCAATAAAAGACAAAGATACCACAACGCCCAAAATACTTTTTTATAAAGCATATTGAGATGAGCTTCTCCTCCTCTGATTCTAATTGAATTTCAGTTTGAAAATATGCCTATTTGTTGTTGAAGAGTTTAGAGATCTAGATCAGATCTTGTGGTTGCTTTTGCAGTAAGCTTCTACCTCCTCCTTTGTCCTCCTGACAGGCAGGTGGTACATCCGTGAGGGCTGGCTGAAGACTGTCCCTCCAAAAGGCACCGAAGCCAAGCCTAAGATGTTCTTCCTGTTCTCGGACATGCTGCTGCAGGCCAAACACTGCAGCCTGCTGCTTCCTTCCAGTGGAGAGAAGTTTGTTGGTCAGCATGCCTTCCCGTTGCAGGACGCCACTGTGGAGAAGGTTTTTGGCCACACCAGGAGCCAAGGAGGTCTGCTCAGTGTGAGTGACGGCACTTTACATTACTACTTTAAAGGTGTGGAACACTTGTTTAATCAACACATTTGCACTGGTCTCTAGTAAGAATGAATGCCTTGTAAGTTGTAGTCGAGGGGGGAGGTCCACTCTACCACTGACTGTTTGCTCTGCAACATGGATGTTTTGTCTCCAGAAATAGCACAAGCCTGAAGGAGTTCTGCTGTGTGGTGGAATTACTAATGCTAATGGTTAGCTTCTACTAGCCAACATGTTGAACGCCAAACCAACAACAGCCTTCCCCTCGTGAATGAAGATGGATGAGTCTATTAATGATATGTGACAGGATGATGTAGATCTGTCAGGTTTTTTAAATCCTAGAGTTTTACTGTCTATTTTCTGTCAGAGCTAATGCAGGAGATACGTGTATGTTCAGCCTGCATGTTAAACTCAGAGTGACAGATAATAATCATATAATTAAAAAATATATTTTTTCAGTGTTTCACACCTTTAACACAACTCTGTACATGAGCAGGAAGCTGAAAGGACTAGAAAACAGATACAGAATGTTCCTCACTGGAGAATCAAACAGGTGACTGCCCAGCTGGTGGGTCGTCTGGGATCTTTCTACTGGGTTTGTTTTATCACATGTCAATTGGAGACTGTGTGTGTGTGTGTGTGCGTGCACGCGCGTGTGCTTGTGTGTGTGTTATTAATGAGAGAGAGAGAGAGAAAATCTCCAGGTGTTTGGACCAGATTAGTGAGTAAATCCATGTCTTCCAGTCCTGCAGCAGCAGCTTCCTGCAGCCTGGTTGTGCTCTGAGATCCTACAGCTTATCTAATGGCTCAAATGGCGTTTCATTAGCCTCTGATCCTCCACGGCCCACGTGCATACTCAATAACACTACACATCATTTCTCATAAGGACACATTATTGATCCTGGGCCTACCTGAGCTGGAGGAAAAGGGCTGTCAGCACTCCAGGGCCCTTCTGGTGCAGCACCATGAAGAATTAAAGCCTAATGAGATGCGACAGCTGGAAATACCACAGTAATCTATATGCAAAGGCTGATTCAGATCTCAGACTAGCTGCTGGTCACACGCAGTCCTCCAGTCTCCAATGTTAGCTCTAACTACGGATCCTCAGTCTGCTGGTCCTCCTGTTCTCTACATCCACCCATCCATCTACCCATCATCCACCCGTTCACCTATTCATTCATCCATCCACCCACCCATCCATTAATCCATCCACCCACCCACCCACCTAGTCATTCATCCATCCACCCACCCATCCATCCATTCACCCAGCCATTTATTCAATTATTCATACATCTTCATTCATTCATCCACCAATTTTTATCCATTCTTCTATTCATTTATCATCACCCATCCTTTCCTCCCTACATTTATCCATCCATCTGTCATTCTTGTATCTGTCAGCAATCTTATTACCCATCCATCACTCAACAGATATTCATCAGTGATCCGTTTATTCATCCTTTCATCTATAATTCATGCATCCATTTCTCCTAAATCTTTCTATCATCAGTTGATCTAGCCATGATTCAACCTTCTTCCAGTTGATGTCAACCCACCCATCCATGCATCGTTCCATCCATCCATCATTAATCAGCCAGAAATAATCTGTCTTTTAATTGTTCTACTGTCCATCATCCATCATGTATGTAGACTCCATCTGTCTAACCAGCTATCATCTATTCGTAATCATTTTAATCCAAAAAGTGTATATTTTTAAAAACTGGATTTTTGGTTACTCTTTTAGCATTCAGCTCGTCTTCTACTGCCGTTCCGGTGTCTATTTCTCGTTAGCAACCCCTGCTGTTTAAAGAGAGAACTGTAGTATCGTCAGTTAGCAGCAAACCGAGTACGCATTTACACTGATCATGTGGATCTGCTGATGCTACAGAAGAATTAAAGTTTACTTCATATTTTAGTGTTTATAAAATAGAAAACGCACACACAACAGAATAATCTGATGTTAAACATCTGCTTCCTGGTGAGGTTTATATTTTGTTGTAATTGTGAGTCTAGGGTTAGATTGGACTCAGACCAGAGAGACACGTCTACTGTTGATGTTAACGTTCCATGTGGCACATCTGTAACACCTGCATGTGTTGTGAATGACTCTCAGCTACTAACACATCAGAGTTTAGACAAGTATCTGTCAGCAGAGTTAGAGACATTAATTTGTTATATAAAAGCAGGTTCCTCACAATGAGGGCTTCACCTTTTTGTAGAAGTTTAAATCAGACGAATGCTGCCCTCTGCTGTCTATAAAGTTAGTGTCATTAGTTTTCTCTGAAGTAAAAGAAAGAAATTCACTCTTCATCTAAATGGGAGTCTTTTCAATTCCACAATCAAATAAATCCATTCAAGACTGCAAAATGTTATTAATTTAATATTTACTTATCATTTTTACCCAAATGAGACTCCAGACTACTTCTGGGAATGGTTTCTATTTGCCGATGGTGTCTAAATGATCTCACCTGCACCAGATCAAGAAACCTGACTTCTGCTCTCTAAGGGAAACATCAGATAAATAAAAAATAAACAAATTTTCTATGTGAGTGACTCCTGACAAAGCTTATCCTGGTCAGATCTGACTGATTCAGTCACCCTCATGACAGACTAGAGAGACTGTGTTACTGTTTGATTAGAAAGCAGAAGTGTGTGTCTCTGTCTCCTTAACCCAACCATCCTTTCTCTTGTCTCCTCTTCCTCTAGCTGACCTTCCCCAAAGCCAAACTTCTGCTGATGTCCAGCAATCAGCAGGACCTCAATGACTGGTACCAGTGCCTGAGCTCAGCTATCAGGTGTGTACCATTCTCTGAATTCAGAGAACCCCTTCTTTATTGTCCTTAATGAAAACACCAGTTCTGCTTTGGATAACCCATTTCCTAAAGGACTTGAAGGTGTTTTCCAGTGAGATGTTCTGTTCCAGCTTGTACAAATGTTGGATGTTTGATAAAAAGTGAGAAAGTATTGTTGTTCTAAGGACCTGGAGCTCAGCATTAGAGAATGCTCGATTGCCTCTGTTGTTTTGTTCTTGCCGTTTGTATCCCATGAGACAATCTTCAAGTTGGACAGAGAGGATATGTCCCACCTGTAGACCTGAATGTGCATCTTCATGCACTTTGTTGTGGTGCTGATGAAGCGGAGATAAAGATGATGTTCAGTAAACACAGCAGGGAACCGGTTCAGTGGACTCTCTGTAGATCTGCTTCGTTACGACAGAGAGCAGAACTTTCTCAGGTCGTGCTGAAGCTTCTTCTGACCCTGCTGCTAAATACACACACGTTTCCAGGAAGCTGCAGTCCAAACAGACGGTGGTTCTCCAGAGAGCTGAGCCGAGACGCCGACCACTTCGTTCAGCAGTGGAGAACCTTCAAAGCAGCAGCAGTCCCATCAGGAAGAGACGCTTGGTGAGTTCTGGAAGTGGACCTGGTGCAGATCTGGACCAGTTAAAACCATCAATCAGACATTTGTATCCAGATGTCTAGTTCCTCCTGAACAAACTGCTCCAAAACGTTGAGACAGAAAATGTAACCCCTAACTCTCTCCCCCCCCCCCCAGCTCAGCTGAAGTTTCTACTTGCAGCTGTGTGATCTTCTGATGGATTTCTCCTCCAGATGTTTTCTGAGAGTTTGAGCTTCTCCACATTTACCAAAGACTTGCTGCAGTCCAGTCTATATTCTGTTCCTGGCTGCCTCCTGTGCAATAAGAGCTTGTGTAGGTGCTGCTGGTGTGCTGCTCCTCGCTACACTGCTTTCTGCTCACTGATTAATCTACAGTAATGCTTTTGTTGAAAGATGTTATAGCTTATTGTTTGTGACCTTTATTTAACCTTTAATGTTTTTATTTGCAACATTGCTTTAAGATTAGTAACAGTTGTTTTATTTTGAAAGGGACTGTTTCCTGTTTGGGCATCCACAAGCCTAACTAGCTACTGATGAGATGAACCAGTAAAACCAACTGATCACTTGGTGCACACTCACTACCAGCAGCAGAGTTCGGATCAGAACCTGCTCTGGATTCAGCAGAATCATGTATCTGATCTGAATCCAGGCTGAACGACCCGGTTACCACATTTTATACTCCGACTCCCTGTCCTGTTTGTTTTTTAAACTCTTATTCTGTATTTTTTGTTTTTACAATTTTATATTTACAAATATATGAACTATATTACGTCTGTATTATGCAGCAGATCTTTTGAGTGACTGTTTTTGTAAAATTCTGTGAAACATTCTGCAGTTTTTTTTATTTTAAATGAAGATAAAAAATAGCAACTGTCCAATAAATCAAACCACAACAAATAATGTGCATTTGTGGATGTTTTACCAAGCAAACACTTTTATTTTTGGTTTCCATACCGAATTTACTCATTAAAATAGATCAAAGAGTTAAATAGTTTTAACTGAAGGTCAAGTTTTTGCATTAAATAAAACTCAAATTTGAAAATGTTCCAGGGATCAGTAAGTATCTTTATGTCCAGATGTAACTCAAGAATGAGGCTGAAGCACTTGCTTTGGTTCACAAAGTGTCTTTAAAAATAAAATCATGACAGTGGGGTGGGTTTGTGAATTATTGTGCAGCAGGAGGCCAGTGTGATGAAGATGATGACTTGAATTATTTAAAACTTCTATTTTAGGAGCCTGAAGTTTCTGAATGATGGATTAAGAGTTCACGGGTACTTCATTTTAACTGTTCAACTCTGAGAAGTTTCTTTTGGGTCACATGGTGAATAAAGGCTGTTCTTGGATCTAAGATCACTTTATGAAATCCGAATGGAGGCTGAGATGAGTTGGTGTCCGAATTTAACAGATATCCAAAAAATACTTGGTTCTTCCTACCAACGTATACGCTCACACGCACACACACTTTTATACACGTAAATGATTAATCTGGTGCTTGCTATGCTCCAATAATCAAATGAAGTAGGAAAATGACTGAATTAGTCATGATGCATTCACTTACATAGCCAAGAAACATTTAAAGGTAAAACTTCCTGGTACCTTATATAGACACATTTTCGGAGTTAGCTTTTCTCGGTACAGGCTTGTTGAAGTTCTGTGAACTGTGATCAGACTGTTCGTTAACGGGTAGGAGATCAAATCTTAATCTCGCAAGCTCTAACCGAAGCAGAACCGAAGTTAATAATGTTCGTTCCCACAGCTAAACGTCTACTTTCCGAGGCCATTGAAGGCAGCACGAGGTGTATTATTCTTGTGAAGCATCCAGGGGTTTTCACACCGAGCAGGAAGTGTTCAGTCCATCTGCGTCACTTTGTTCCGTGCGTCTGTGAGCGGGCTGTCTTCAGCCCTACCTGGTTTGAGTTTGTCTGGAATGATACAGCTGGACTCCTCGGTGTCATGGTGAAGATGGAGCTTCTCCTTCGGACCATGGTCTTGGTTCTGGGCGTCGCGACGTCCTCTGCACTCAACATTTTATCAGGGCAAGCGCTCAGGTGCTCGCGCCAGGTGAGGAGCTCAAAGTGCTGGGAGAGCGCGAGACGCAGTTTATAGTTTGAAAGTAGGATCATTCTATATTTATGTAAAGTTCAATAAAATAAATGATGTAACTTTACTGTAAAAACAAAAAAAAAGTTTATTTAAATGGAGCAATGTGTGTTTAACACGCACGCGCGCGGTTTGTGAGGCTTATACAATGTTTCTTTCGTTTCCAGGATGTGAACTGCACAGTCAAAGACAGTGAGTGACTTCATTTCTGACTTTCTTTTCTGATCTTTTTCCCCTTTTAAATAATATTTTTGAAAGTTCCAGTTTAAGTGTTTGAAGTATTTGTTGATTTACAGATTTACAGATTTCAGATTTATTGGCCAAGTAAAATTACATTTACAAGGAATTTGTCTTCGGTAGATGTTCGCTCTCTAAAACATACAACAACCACAATAAATGAGAATAAAAATACCTAAAAACACATAAGAACATGTATACCCACACACATGGTCATTTACACAGACACCTATATACATACACACACACACACACACACTCATATCCATAAGCATACTGAAATGAAACTGAACGCTGGTTTAGAAATAAACCTAGATCTATGTATTTTTTTCGTTCTCAAATGGGGTTTCTTGTTTTTTTTGTTTTACATTTAACTGGTATTTAATTTCAAAGATGCTGCACAGAAAAATATTTTAAATAAGTTTCCGTTTCGTGATGACCTCAGGTTCACTTGTAAGTTAGCATGTCATCCTAACCATCTTGAACCGTTTAGGTGTGTGTGTGTGTGTGTGTGTGTGTGTGTGTGTGTGTGTGTGTGTGTGTGTGTGTGTGTGTGTGTGTAGGTAACTGTTTGGACCCTGGATGGCAGGAAAGCCACAGTCTTACTCCAGCTGGAGCTGAGGGCCTGCAGGTGTCTGTAGAGACCAAGGTGGATGATGCCGGATGGCTGCAGCCGGTGCTGCACGCTGAATGGGAGTTAAAGGACGATGGTCAGGCGCTGAAGTTCTGTTCTGTGGTACCATTTAAAAAAAATCCTCCTTCAGTAAGATGTGTTGGAGACAGAAAGTTAACCTTTTGCAAATTGGTCAACAGGAAGTATAAATTACCTGAAAGCCACTGAGCTTCATGTTCTTGTGATGTCCACCAACGAGAATCGCTGCATTCGATATTCTTTCAGAGATAAGCTTAAGATGAGAAGTCCATCAGAAGAAAAGGTGGGAGGCATAACGTCACATTTCATTTCATTTTATTCAGACACTGTGAGCTTCAATATAAAGTTTAGATTTATGTTTCTTTCAAATATTTTGTTTAGAGTAATTTTTATTTTTGCAGATTAACACTAAAATGCATCAAAAACTATAAAATCATTCAAATGCAGCCAGATGCTTCAGTGTTTTGATTGTTTTAGTTGATGTCTCTGTGATAGAGTGAGGACCCATGTGGGTTTCATCTAAGCACATTATGTTAATGTTAATTTTAATGATATAGCACAGAAACAGCAGCAAATGGCTGTTGCCAAAGTGCTTAACATAAACAAAAATCAATTAAAAACAAAAATAATATACAATCCGGAAACTAAACAGAATAAAATAATTGCATGATTAAAAAACCAAACATAATAAATTAACAACTCACTTAAATGGAATAAAAATAGGCCTTAAGCCTAGACTTAAACAGGTCAGTTGATGGAGACTCCCTAATAAGTTGTGATAAAGAGTTCCACAGACGAGGGGCTGCCACTGCAAAAGCCCTGACGTCTGAAGGGAACCTGTTGGCGTTTTGGTCCAAGCAGACCGTTGAAGACACAAAGTAATTTGTAAAATCTGTAGAAGTTAGAATGACTAGAAGGTAACAACTCTGTCCTGTAGTTTAATCAAATGTATTTTATGGTTTTAGTGGTCGTTCTTTTCTGATGTGCTGGTGTTGCAACCTGGTCTGGAGTACCGGGTGTCTATTGATAACATCCCCAAACCAGAGCAGGGCCACACCCACTATGATGTCAGCAAATCTGTCCGTGTCCCAGGTGAGTGAGGGTCTGTAGCAGGACCTGCTGGTTGTTTGACTCTGAGAGTGACTCTGAACTCTGTGGGATGTAAAGGAAAATATCAGAGTATGACATTAGCTTTAGGTTCAGTTTTATTTTGGTAAACTCCATTTTCCATGTTTTAGACATTCCTGTTTTGTAGTAGAGGTGTATTTGCTCATGTTCCTCTTGAGTTAATTCAAAATGTTGGATCTGGTTTGTCCAGATTGTTCGAACTCCAAAATGCAGGAAACTCAGTTTTGCAAGGAAACAGGTAAGAAGAGTCTGGATTTCCTCCTAACAGTAATTATGAACAAAGGTCCTGAAGTCCTAACGGGTCATGTCATTGATTCAGGAAGTGACTGGAAGCCTGATGTCAGCATGTCTCTCACAAGCACAAACAATTCTCTGGCTGTCAGCTTCAGTCCTCATGTCCTGAGTGAGAAGTACATGCTAAAGGTTTCCTGTGGCACCAGCAAGTTTGTTCCTATGAATAATGTAAGGTCACACCATGCTCAACACACTTTGCTTTGCTCAGCAGTCACACAGAATGAAGGCGTTTCCTGTGTTAGTCGGCTGACACAGATAACTTACTGTAGCTGCACAATCACAACGTCCTGTCTGAAGGGTGGATTCATGCGATGAACTCCCCCACACGTCTCTGGTGTTGGGTTTTTTCCTCTAACTCGTTCTTATTACCAGACCTGAAGACCCTACTCTCCTGATGTAGGAGGAGCATCAGGACACTGGTGATTGTTGGGAAACCAGTACTTGTTGGGACGACCCGAGAATTTGATGTAACATTTATGACACGTCTCACCTTTATGTTAATATTGTTTTATTTGATGCACTCCACTTCGAACTGCACCAATCCAGCAACTGCTGCATTTTAATAACTAGTATTAAAGGTGAATACACCAATATTTGCACAAGAATAATTTTTGTTTTAAACTCTCAGTGACACACTTTGCGGGGGGGGGGGGGGTGTTGGCATTTAATTTTTCTTGGCGTCTGGAAAAACATCTCCTTCTGCCCCCCTTATTTGACTTTCTGCCCCCTTTATTTTGGTCCAAGATCATTACTGGGCTGGCTCTATTAAAAACCTTCTACACCCCTGCTTAGTAGACTTAATGAAGTATTTTTAAGCCAGTATAAAAATGACCGAAACACAAATGGACATATTTGGCATTACTGACCAATATCTTTGATTCAATTTATTTGTTAACAACATCAAGATGCATTACAGTGAACATTATAATAAAGTACGTTTTTCTAGTGCAGAGAGGAGACAACCCATAGAAGCACTGATTTGATCTCATTTCAGAGAATGGAACAGATCAGATGCACCTAATAAATAAAATTACTAACATAAACTCAGGAATCTGTTTCTTTGCTTCATTGTGCTGAAAATATCACTAATGCCGATCAATGGACATACACATGAATGCACCTTATTATTTGGAAATTAGTGGGTGTGGTTTACATCAATACATTATTTTAAATCTGAAATTGATATGGATTGATCAGAAGTTGCTATGTGTATTGTTTATTTGAAAACTATTTACAGAGCAGCCTCAGAATTGAGATTAAATATTTTTGACCACAATAGTAAAGGAACTATTACAGAACAAGTAAAACAAGTAAAATCAGAACATTAATGTTTAAGTGCATGAATTAATACATCTGAACTCATGCAGTAGGAACTAGGAAATATGAAATACTAGAACCATTTTATTTAAATTTGATTAAACTGATTTTTTCCTAATGTTGTTGGCATTGTTCCCACACACAGTTAAACAAAACAGTGTTGATTGAGGTGTGTGTGTGAGAGAGAGAGGGAGAGAGAGTTAAAATAAATATTTAAAAAAAAAAACGACCTGAGCGAAGGCAGTGACCGACTCATGCACGAGCCATTTTCAGCTCTGTCTTGTCAAATGCACCACATACGTTACGAAAAAGTAACTTTAAATATTCAACCGAAAAAGAGGCGAGCTGAAGAAAACCTAGGGAGCACTGAAGAAACGTGAGCAACAGTGAAGCAAGCACAGAGAGATTCGTTACTGTGTGTGTGCGTGTGCGCGTGTGCGTGTGTGCGTGCGTGCATGGGCCGGACGGACTGAGCTCCCGGCTGCAGTTTTGTGTGTAGGGAGGGGCGGGCGCTCTATGTGACTGACCAACCACAGAGCATGAAGACAGGCAGTTACCCAATGAGGATTTTCCTTCAACACGATTACAGATATTTACGAGTTTTACTCGTTTCATGCTCGTATTCGTCTAAAATGCTTTATCCGTACCGTATACTCGTCTGAAATGAGTATCTGGTGTCAGTACAGGATCGGCTCGGGGTCCTTCGACTGCCGATGACGTCACATTACTGCAAATCTACTCGGCTTTCACACACACGTTTTGGAAAGACATCAGCAGTTTTGTTAATAAATTCTTGTTTGTTAACACCTAAATGTTTTCTTTATAATTGTAATTTGTTAATAAAACACCATATTATCTTTATTTTATAAAGAATGTGAAACTGCATAAAACCAACATCGGAATGACAAAAAATAGAACAGTTCGTCAGCCATATCTGTATTAGTGTGGAGTTCGTCTGTATATTTCCTTAGTTGTTATCTAAATACATTCTTTGACTCAAAATATTGCATGGTGTCTTTCAGTAAAGTTCTTCTATTTTATTTTGCCCCATTTCATCAACATCAAGAGCTTTTGAGGGTCACCGTTTATCATTTGCTTATATTTTACATTTCCTTTAGAAATTCAAACATATTTTCTCCAAAAAGTGTTGATTTTTGGACTACAGGACTACAACCGCAAATTTGTTCTGACCAATCAAAATAATAAAGTGATAATGTAAATTCTGTAAGCTTCATGTTCAGCCAATCAACTACTTTGACGTCATTGGCAGTCAAAGGACTCCGAGCCGATCCTGTACTGACACCGGCTCATCCCTAGCTGTAACCACCCTGCCCTGCCTCCTCCTTCTTGCTGCCTGCCGGCTGTGATCACAAGCAACAACAGAGTAGTTCCTGCTGCTTCTTCGTGAAACGGCGCAAAAAAAAATAAAAATAAAATAAATACATCAATAAAACTTGGGATCTTGTAGACGTGGTGCTGGGATTTCAGCCATGGCGGGCTGCCACGGCTACACCTATGTAAGGGAAACACTGAGTTATGATCTCAGATAAGTTGCCCACAGCTGGTAATTAACCTCTTCCAAATAAAAGCAGTAGTCATCGATAGCAGATGTTTTGCAACATATTCTAATTTTTCAACTCACCTGTGTGATATATTAAACACTGTACCTCTAAACTTTAGAGGTACACCTGCAAAGGGTTCCTGAGCCTTTTGGATTCATTGGCTGCTTAGAGTGTGACACTTTGAGAGTAGAATATCGAACCTTTTCATAATATTCTAATTGTCTGAGATTTTTAAAGTGGGGTTTTCATAAGCTGTAAGCTATACTCGCCACAATTATAACACATGAAGGTTTGGAATATCTGACATTATGTAATGAGTCTGTCCCATGTATTAGTTTTTAAGTTTAATTACTGATATAAATGAAGCTTTGCACCATATTCTAATTGTTTTACTTACACCTGTGTGAAATATTAATCACTGTTCTTCAGTGTTAACTTTAAACTCATCCAACCTGTTCTCCAGTCAAACCAGGCGAGGCTAAATGTGACATTAAACCTTGATACTTGGCCAAAGTCCTGCTGCCAGTTTGAAGCAGAGGTAAATGATTTTTTTAGCCTTGATTCATTTTTCTGAGGCACAGTAGTGTGATTTCCAGAGGCTGATATACCTGCCTTCATCATCACCACCGCATTTCACCTACATGTGATTCTTTTGCGTCACAGGTCACGCCTTCTTTCCCAAAGTGTGCCAACGACTGTATCCGTCACATAAAAACTCAAGATTTCTGTTCTTATCATCCTACAGGTGAGCAAAATCCATTAAGTTTTATACCAAAGTAGGCCTCCTCCTTGAACCGTCACCTTATCGTGGTGGAGGAGTTTGAGTGCCCTAATGATCCTAGGAGCTATGTTGTCTGGGGCACTTGGTGCCCCTGGTAGGGTCTCCCATGACAAATTGGTCTTAGGTGAAGGGTGAGACAAAGAACGGTTCGAAGGATCTTTCATGGCGGTTAAAACGAAGAGTCGGAGTACCCGGCCCGGAGGGTTACCGGGGTCCCACCCTGGAGCCAGGCCTGGGGTTGGGGCCCGTGAGCGAGCGCCTGGTGGCCGGGCTTTCGCCCATGGGGCCCGGCCAGGCCCAGCCCGAACCGGATACATGGGCTCGTCCAACTGTGGACCCACCACCCGCAGGAGGAACATGAAGGGTCCGGTGCAATGCGAATCGGGTGGCAGACCAAGGCGGGAGCCTTGGCGGTCCAATCCCCGGACAAGAAAACTAGTTTTTGGGACATGGAACGTCACCTCGCTGGCGGGGAAGGAGCCGGAGCTTGTGGCAGAGGTTGAGCGGTACCGGCTAGATATAGTCGGACTCACCTCGACACATTGCATTGGCTCTGGAACCCGAGACCTGGAGAGGGGTTGGACACTCTACTTTGCTGGAGTTGCTCCGGGTGAGAGGCGGAGGGCTGGGGTTGGCTTTTTGTTAGCCCCGAGACTCTCTGCCTGTGTGTTGGGGTTTACCCCGGGGGACAAGAGGGTAGCTTCCTTGCGCCTTCGGGTCGGGGAACGGGTCCTGACTGTTGTTTGTGCTTATGGGCCAAATATCAGTTCAGAGTACCCACCCTTTTTGGAGTCCCTGGGACGAGTGCTAGATAGTGCTCCATCAGGGGACTCCATTGTCCTGCTGGGGGACTTCAATGCTCACGTGGGCAATGACAGCTTGACCTGGAGGGGTGTGATTGGGAGGAACGGCCCACCTAATCTGAACTCGAGCGGTGTTTTGTTATTGGACTTCTGTGCAAGCCGCAGTTTGGCCATAACGAACACCATGTTCGAACATAAGGATGCCCACCGGTACACTTGGTACCAGGGCAGCCTAGGTCACAGGTCGATGATAGATTTTGTAGTCGTATCATCTGACCTGCGGCCGTATGTTTTGGACACCCGAGTGAAGAGAGGGGCGGAGCTGTCAACTGATCACCACCTGGTGGTGAGTTGGATCAGATGGCAAGGGAACATGCCGCGTAGACCTGGCAGACCCAAACGCATAGTGAGGGTCTGCTGGGAACGCCTGGCAGAAGAACCTGTCAAGACGGTCTTCAACTCCCACCTCCGGCAGAGCTTTGACCACGTCCCGAGAGCAGTGGGGGACATTGAGTCCGAGTGGGACTTGTTCCACTCTGCGATTGTCGAGGCGGCTGTTGCTAGCTGTGGTCGTAAGGTGGCCGGTGCCAGTCGTGGTGGCAACCCCCGTACCCGCTGGTGGACACCAGAGGTTCGGGGAGCCGTCAGGCTGAAGAAGGAGGCCTACAGGGCGTGGCTGGTCTGTGGGTCTCCGGAGGCAGCAGACAGGTACCGGATAGCCAAGCGGGGTGCAGCAGTGGCAGTTGCCGAGGCTAAATCTCGGGCGTGGGAGGAGTTTGGTGAGGCCATGGAGAAAGACTATCGATCGGCTACAAAGAGGTTCTGGCAAACTGTCCGGCGCCTCAGGAGAGGAAGGCAGCAACTCGCTCACACTGTTTACAGTGGGGATGGGGAGCTGCTGACGTCAACTGAGGCTATAGTCGGACGGTGGAAGGAATACTTTGAGGAGCTCCTCAATCCCACCAATGCGCATTCCGAGGAGGAACCAGAGCTGGGAGGCCTGGGGATGGACTGTCCGATCTCGGGGGCAGAAGTTGCTGAGGTAGTCAAACAACTACACAGCGGCGGAGCCCCGGGGGCGGATGAGGTTCGTCCTGGGTATCTCAAGGCTATGGATGTTGTAGGGCTGTCATGGTTGACACGTCTCTACAACATTGCGTGGTCATCGGGGGCAGTTCCTAGAGAGTGGCAGACCGGGGTGGTGGTCCCCATCTTTAAGAAGGGTGACCTGAGGGTGTGTTCCAACTATAGGGGGATCACACTCCTCAGCCTCCCTGGAAAGGTCTACTCCAAGGTACTGGAGAGGAGGGTCCGATCGATAGTTGAATCTCAGATAGAGGAGGAGCAATGTGGTTTTCGTCCTGGCCGTGGAACTGTGGACCAGCTCTATACCCTTGCAAGGGTGATGGAGGGGGCATGGGAGTTTGCCCAACCAATCCACATGTGCTTTGTGGATTTGGAGAAGGCTTATGACCGTGTCCCCAGGGGCACCCTGTGGGGGACGCTCCAGGAGTATGGGGTGGGTGGCTCTCTGTTAAGGGCCATTCAGTCCCTTTACCAGAGGAGCGTGAGTTTGGTCCGCATAGCCGGTAGTAAGTCGGACCTGTTCCCAGTGAGGGTTGGACTCCGCCAGGGCTGCCCTTTGTCACCGGTTCTGTTCATCACTTTTATGGACAGAATTTCTAGACGCAGCCGTGGTGTGGAGTGTGTCGAGTTTGGTGGCAGGAGAATCTCGTCTCTGCTTTTTGCGGATGATGTGGTCCTCCTAGCTTCATCCAGCTCTGACCTTCAGCTCTTGCTGGGTAGGTTCGCGGCCGAATGTGAAGCGGCTGGGATGAGGATCAGCACCTCCAAATCTGAGACCATGGTTCTCGACCGGAAAAGGGTGGCTTGCCACCTCCGGGTCGGGGGAGAGGTCCTACCTCAAGTGGAGGAGTTTAAGTATCTCGGGGTCTTGTTCACGAGTGAGGGTAGGAGGGATCGGGAGATCGACAGGCGGATTGGTTCGGCGTCTGCAGTGATGCGGACGCTGAGCCGATCTGTCGTGGGGAAGAGGGAGCTGAGCCAGAAAGCCAGGCTCTCGATTTACCGGTCGATCTACGTCCCAATCCTCACCTATGGTCATGAGCTTTGGGTAATGACCGAAAGAACGAGATCGCGGATACAAGCGGCCGAAATGAGTTTCCTCCGTAGGGTGGCCGGGCTCAGCCTTAGAGATAGGGTGAGGAGCTCGGACATTCGGGAGGGACTCGGAGTAGAACCGCTGCTCCTCCGGATCGAAAGGAGCCAGTTGAGGTGGTTTGGGCATCTGGTCAGGATGCCTCCTGGACGCCTCCCCGGGGAGGTGTTTCGGGCATGTCCTGCCGGCAGAAGGCCCCCGGGTCGACCCAGGACACGTTGGAGAGGTTACATCTCCAATCTGGTCCGGGAACGCCTTGGGGTCCTGCCGGAGGAGCTGGTGGACAAGGCCGGGGAGAGGACGGCCTGGAGCTCCCTAGTTGGGATGCTGCCCCCGCGACCCGGACCCGGATAAGCGGAGGAAGACGAGAGACGAGACGAGAGACCAAAGTAGGCTTGGTATACTGCCTGATTAAATAACAGTGGCTGTGTCTCAATTCAGGGTCTGCATCCTTCGAAGGACCCAGCCCACCCGGCCGACGTGGGCTGGGTCCTCCGTCGGCCGGGTAGACCGGATGTTAACGGCTGTGAATTTGGACAGGCCTAGCCTTCATGAACTCCCTCGGCGAACGTTCCGTCGCCTAGCAACCGTGGAACCGCTGGGCAGAAGGAACCTTAAACGATGGAGCTCGACGTTTTATTTAGCTTTTTAACCCCCAGAAACCCAAATTTAGAAAACAACTGCAAAATATTTTTAACCTTTCACATGTTGTTCTAGGAGGCCAGATAAACGGGCCTATTTACACATTTTAACAGCCAATAGTGTTGCAGAACTGAATAGGACCTATTAGCAATGTAAATGTGGTTTTAAAAAGAAAAAAAATGGGGAAGGTTTATTTTTGTAGACTTAAATCTGATGTTGTGATACTACAACCGTGGGTCTCTGGGGGTTAATCATTTCCTTGACTGTTGGAGAGCTAATTCAGAGAAAATACTTTAGACTAGCTGAGCCTGAGCAAAGATGTGATAATAGTTTTTAATACTTTCTAAGGGTCTTAATTTGACCAAAACCGATTTATCACCTTTTAAGACTTTTCAAGACCCAGCGGATACCCTCTAGTAAACAATTCTCATTTGTAAACAAAAATAAAATTCAAGAGTTTAATGCAGAACTGATTTTATTTAGATATTTCTTTTATATGTACATGTTTAATCTTCATTAACCATTTTTTTCTAGCAAAGTAAAAAGCTGTCAAAGTTCTTCCTTCTCTCCTGTGCTCTCTGCTGCTCTGCAGCCTCATGTCCTCCCAGATCAGCTCCAGAAGCTCATCGCTGGCACCTTCCCCTGGATGCCCATTTTCTCCAGAATAGTCTTAACAAACATGTAAGAAAAGAAACAGGAAGAGAAAAGAGGACAACGGGTTATTCCTTTCATGTTTTCGCAGAAAAAAATATACTCAAACGAGTTTTTAAAATATGAGATGTTATTGTACCTCCATGCCACAGCCGCCGAATACTTTGCTCCGGTGATCATGTGGTCCATCTCCGCCCTAAGCTTAATAAATTCCCTGGTTTTCTCTTTTGGTCCTAAAATACAAACTTCTATTAAAATCAGGGGGAAACGTAGTGGGAGAAGTACGACACCGAGCGCGGCCGAACATACGAGCCGAGACCGCAATACAAGCACTTTTACTGTAACATTTCTAACTAAAATAACGTTCATGTATCACAAAAAGTCCTTAAACTGACAGTTTTCAAGTTTATACTTACATTTATATGCGCAATCCTCTCCGACAGCTCCCGCTTCACTGTCCGCCATTGTTTTTAAGTTTTTCTGCCGGCCGGCCCGCAAGGCATCTTGGGAAATGCTACCTATTGAAGGATACACCGTACCCATCCTTCATTCAGGCGAAAAGAAGGCCGCATTCGTCGACCGCATTTGAAGGAGTCTTCGAATTGGGACAGGCCGAGTCGCGGCGCTGTGACGTAACCGGCCGACGAATCCGGCCGAGGTAGGATGCAGACCCTGAATTGAGACACAGCCAGTGTCCTTTAGCTTCTATCACAGTCATGTTGGGATGGCTGTCTATTAACATGTCACTCTGGGTGTTCTGTGGGAGTACAGAGTTCTGGGCCCATACTAAGGGCTGTTTGGTCCTTGTTATCTGTGTTTTCTTTGTATTAATGTTGTTACTTCAGTTCGACGGTATCTTGTGTTTATACACAGGTCCATTGTTGTCCATAATATTCATTGTGTGTGCTTTTTTAACTGATTTGTTTGATGTGGAACCATAGCTAAGCCAACATGATTTTGTTCCAATTTGTGTGAGGATTTGAGAAACCAAAGAGCAAAAATCTGGACATTTGCCAAAGAAAAAGTGTTTGCCTTCAGCACAACTCCAGTATCCTGAACGATCTACTCTTTTTTTTTCTCTACAGATCAGCCAAGCCCTCAAGATTCACTAACACTCATCTTAGTGGTCTTGGGAATCGTGCCTGTGTGTCTAGTGATAGCCATTGTGTCATGTGTTTGCTGCAGACATAAAGGTACCAGTTCAATTTCTGTAGTTCCGTGTTCATCAGCCAGGGTTATTATATGGTGTGGAACTTAGTGATGTTCTTTCACTTTCAGCTAAACCTCATGTCACTCCTTCCCCTGAGAAACCACCACAGCCACCAAAGTCACCCCCTAAAATACTGGTCATCTACTCCAAGGACCATCACCTCTACAGGGACGTAGTGCTGAAGATGTGTGCATTTCTTCAGGCCAAATGTGGCACCAGGGTTCTGGTAGACCTGCTAGACACCACCTCAGTCAGCATGGTGGGTCGACTCCGCTGGCTGGAATGGCAACGACAACAACTAATAGACCCCTGTGACAAAATACTCGTGTTGTGCTCATGCGGTGTGCAAGCCAAGTGGAGGGCCATGTGTGGTCAGGGGAAGGTGACCCTCCGGGAAGATGTCCTGTCTCCAACAGATGACATGCTCATTCCGTTCCTGAATCTGTTCCTGCCAGACATGCATCAGGTTGGGATGCTGGGAAAATACATGGTGGCTTACTTTGATGACATCTGCAGTGAAAAGGATGTGCCATCTGTTTTTGACATCGGTATCAAATACAACTTAATGAAACACTTTGAGGAATTATACTTCCGCATCTTAGACATTGAAAAGTATCAGCCAGGCCAGGTTAACCACATCGAGGGAATTAGTGGGGATGAATATTTTACCTGTCCTTCAGGTCAAGCCTTGAGGAAGGCCATTGAAACATTCAAGGACTATCAGTTAGAAAATCCTGACTGGTTTGAAAAGGAGTGTGTGGAGAGTGAAGAGGAGGTCTTTACTGAAGCCAGCCAGCTCACTGGTCCACTGCAGGTTCCTCCTGTATTCGAGTGCATCATCCCAGTCAGAGATGGACTTCCTGTCTCTGAGTGTGCTCTAGATATCAATGAAAACAACAGTGTTCACATTCTTGTTCCTGAACTGAATCCAGAAGGTCTGATGTCATCAGTAGCAGAACTTCTACCAGTGATAAATCCTGAGTGGGAACATCAGTACCCGTCAAGCCTAGCTGAGGTTTTGACAGAACCCAGCTCCATTCTACAACCAGTCTGTATAGCTGAACCTGCCCTGAACAACCGTCCACCTATCCAGCAGAATTTGTTGTCCTTCATACAAGAATCCCCAGGGAACATGCCCATTGAGGATAATGAAGAGGATTCTTTACTGCAGGCAAACATGGAACATTCAGCCTATTTAGACCAAAGATGTTCTATGGACTCTGGTCCTCAAGAATCTTCATGTCCTCTCAACCAGAGAACATCTTTTCCTTCGGCTGAAATCAGCCATCCTGGTCTGGTGGAGATGGAGGTGGGCGAGGTTCTGGGGCCAAGTGAAAAGCGTTCCAGCAGCGGATCTGATCAAGGTTACATCTCAAAAGGATCTTCACAACATGAAGTTCCCATTAAAGAGGATCCAATTGTGGCCTTGGCAAGATTGCAAGAAGAGCTCTTTCAGGGAACTTTTGGATACTCTGACATTGATCCTGAAGAGAACTGATGGGAGACCAGGATCCTCAAGTCTGAGGCATGTAAAAAACTGTGAATGCCTAAAACAATCCAGTTGTATCAAAGTGTTCCCACAAATGGATTTTAGCACACATCTTCTGAACATCCTGACCAACATGAAATTGAGCCACGTGAAGTAATTGCTAATAGATGACGAAATGCTCTTGGAATGATCAAAAACCATGTGTATGCATGCAGCAATGACAAAATTTAGTTGACAAATGTGAAACAACTCATATTATACAGCATGTTGATGTGATACTGCACATACAGTAGGTTCTACAACTAAAGCATCTAAAGACAAACACATTTTGTACCTTTAAGCCCTGTTCACATGGCAGGATAATTGTTCCAGATTTTTGACCCATTTCTCCCCTTCTGACAATCTTAAGGACACACTGATTACTGTAAAGGCCCTAAAAATTACCTTATCAGATATTCCTTCCTATCATATGCGGTGTGCTAGCATTCAGGTCTTCTCTGAAGGATGTTGGGACTGCTGCAATCATAAATTAGGGCCTTCAAACCTGTTGGATTGTCTTGGTCTGATTTTTTGAGCCAGTCAGAAAGTGAGTTGCTTCTGAGGACACAGTCCTTCCTTGGTCAAAGAAAACAGTTTTTGGGATACTTTGTCAGCACTGACAGCTCCTCCATTGAGAAGCGAAACGTCTTCAAGAAATCAAAGAAGTCCAGTTGCCTTCATTTGAACCCTTTTGGGTTAAATGGAAAAGACTTGCATCACGTGACCGTGGCGGTCACAAAACGTCCCGTGACACGTGTAACGGAATGAAAGTCGTTTTCCCCCTCTGACAGAGAACTAGTCTGCATGAGATATGGCCTCAAGGTCTCATGTATTTGCTTCTAAACTGCTTCTTTCCAGCTCAAGAGAAGAATGAAGAAAGGACTCTCTCCTTTTAATTAATCAAAGAACTATTTTTAATAAAGCTAATCAAACAAAGTGTTAGTCAATAAGATGTGACCAATCTGTGAAATCAAAATATTAATTACTTCATTATAATCCTATAGAATGTAATATGTAATATGACTTTAAATGTTTCCACTAGGACTGATCTCACGTAGCATTAAGACATGACACATTGCTTTACTGATCCTATCAGAATCTGCCAGATCTGACAGAGGCGTGGTTTTGGTGGTGCTTGGTAAACTTGTCATCTTTTCATTCGACCATAAACCAAAACATTCGAAGTATAAAACTATGCCCACGTCATCTTTAACGCCAGTTCAAAGCGTTCTAGAGAAGTTGTCGGAGTGGCCAATCCGTAACTTTCCTCTTCAGCCAAAAGAACCAACGACAAGCTGGATAAAATCTGTTGCTGTTCCAACTACAGCGACGGTTCCTTTCAGAATAAAAGCTGAACCATCACGACCCAGTTTGGGTCTCGCTAGATGCCAACAAAACTGTTGTGACCCGGAAGTATCTCAAAGACTGGTCTGGTTGACAACCGCTGCTTTTCCTACCGTCTTCGGTTCTAGAGAGGGTCCAGCTGGACCTCGACATTCCTGATCTAACGGGACTTACAAAAGGGTATGTAGGCCAATGGAATGGCGTCGAATGTGTTTATGAATCTCCTAACCAAAGCTTAGCGTGAAGACATCACCTTCACTTCCCACCAGAACTAATTGTTTCTTCGGATTTGCTGGTTCTGAACAACATTCCACACTACACCATTCTCCGTCTCATTCACCTTAGTTACACCATACATTTAGTGTTAAAGTTAGTCTAGTTTTAATTTGTTTAGTAATAAATCTTTACACCTTTTAACATGACTCTCTCTTCTGTTGTCTCTGAGTTAATATGAAACTGTTATCTAAACCCTGCAATAAAAAGTTCCAATCTTCTGGTTAAAAAGTACCCACAGATCCATAAGGTTGATTTCATATTTCCTATGAAATCCTATGTTTTATGGCTTATTAAATAACATGTAAATTAACTCATTACACACGGGAGATAACGTTATATTTTATACGTATACGTTTCCTGTGGGACCCTCACCATGTAACCCTCATGCCTATGCTGTCTCTGGAGGAGCAGATAGGAGACAAGATCTCCTGTAACTTAAAATGAACCAAAGCTTCCTCCCAGTTTCTCTTTAAGCTGAATTTAACATCAGTTTATCGTCATGAAACAAAAGAATAAAGTGGAACAAGAACTTACCGTAAATCCTCTAATACAGGCCCGGGTCTGTATTTGACTCAAGCTCATCAAGCTCCAGGCCTTTATTGGAAGGAGGTCCAGAATTAGAGGCAGGCCTCTATTTCTATTTGAGCAAAATGAACTAATGGTTCGCTGGAGTTTTTGACAATTAAAATTGCGCCCACATTTTCAAAGTTGAACACATTTCTTTTAAAAACAGTTTCTGCTTCTGCCCCCCCCTTGCGCAGCGGCCGCAAACTCACTGATGCGCCTGCAGCCTCTCGAAGTTCCTGCTGCTCTAAACATTAAAATAATTATTTCATTTTCTGTTCCTCACTTCTGATTACCTTCAATGGTGTCTGTTTGTTGCAGCCACCAGGTACAAAAACTAACTTGTTTTTATTTGTTTTTCTGTCCTGCCTGTTTATTATCTTCCTTCATCTCTCAATCCTAAAGAAAAACTGCTTCCTGGGTTCATATATATTCACCTCATGAGTTACCTTTGAACTGCAGTTCTAAAAGATCTACCGACTGCAAAAACAGCGGAGTGCGTGCTGCTTGCCGGCCACATCAGTTAGGTGCGTCACCGAGGACAAAACAGGTGATGTGCCCTGATCCACAACAGCGAAACGCATCAGGGACAAATAAAAGAATAAAAGACAGAAAACATAAAAGGAAATGAGCCGACATGAACGATCGTGTGTTAAATTAGTTTTTGAGGTGGCGACACCTGTTTTGATAATGTTACTGTGGCCGTGCTCAGGACGCAGATGCCTGGAGCGCGTCAACAATCAGAGCTTTGCATGCGCAAGCTGGTTAAGGTTAGGATGGGGGTGAGGGGAATGTTAAATTGCAAGAGGGTAAAGGTCACAATTTGGTTAAATGTCCGTTTTACGGCGGGTGTCAGTATCGACGCTCTGGCACAGCGCGTTTCCTCCAGACACGCAGGAGCTTGTCACCTGCTGACAGCAGGCTGCTGTCTTTTCCGTGGACTGCATCTTGCCGGTCATTATCACGTGACAGCGACTAGTCGATGACAGGCATAAAAAAATCACTATAGAGCGGTGAAGTCGACTAGTGACTAGTTCATACAACCCCTACTGCTCCCCAGAGTGTTCTGCAGCATAATCAGCAGGATCTCTTTGAACTTGATATCAAATTTTCGCCTCCTCTTCGTCTCCGCACAGTTAAAGTTACCCTCGCGGTCTATCACTGGCAAATCAAAAGTGAGACGGACGACACAACCGCCCCCTGTACTTGCTTGTTACCACATTCCACCCGGCCACAATAAGAGACCGGCAATTATTCACCTCCGCCGACTCCGACACCGGCCAAAATATGATACCCGGCACGGCAGTTAATTAAATACAGGCTAATATTAGAGGATTTACGGTATATTTATCTCTCCTTTTAACTTCTCCGTGTCGCTAAATAAGAGACAGGTTACGCTGCAGCCGCCGTCACTGATCCCGCTCCCTCCCCAAGACTGGATCTCCCGACATCACAGCACTCTGAGCGCTTTCAGGAGAAACAATAATGAACTTATGAAAATAATGCGTTTGGAGAAGCGTTCTCTCTCTGATCGAGCGAATGGAGCGCGCCGTGCGACAACCCGCTCAAATAACATAATTTACGGCCCAAATCCAACAGAACCGATCGGGCTGATTCGCTTCGGTCTCAGGTTATAACTCCAGTGCTCAGCCCTGCAGTACCACATAAAGGCAGACCAAAGTTTCCTACAGGGTAAATGTGGAGAACATCTGCTCTGACAGATCTGGATGCTATGCTGGTGCCGCCGTTAAAATAACAAAACTACATTCCACTATAATTGATTATGGTACTCTTCTATGATGCAGAATCGTTTATGCCTGCATCTCATGCATTGATTATTTTCCTCAGCTCTATCTATCCTACACCTCTCGGTCGGACCTCGGGGGTGGGGGTGGGGGGTTGCGCAAGGGGTTTGGGGGCCACAAAGAGAGGGCTCGCGGGCCGGACGTGGCCCGTGGGCCGCCATTTGCGGACCACTGTTCTAGTAGTTTCTGACTGAATTCTGTTGATCTGAGAACTAAACAGTGTTTCAGTTAAAGGAGATGCTGTGATACAGTCAGTGGTTATGTCCTGGTCCTCAGGACCACTGTCCTGCAGCTTTTAGATGTCTTTCTGCTCCAACACACCTGATCTGAGTCTGTGGGTGACAGAACAGGAACATGTAGAACTCATGGGCCTGCTGATGAGGTGTTGAACCATTGATTCATTTGGAGCAGAGAAACTAGTGGACCAGGATGAACAGCAGGGTTAAGTGGAGGGAAATCCTTAAAAGTCATGTCCTCTTGGACACCGTCCGCTTTGGTGCTCCAGTGCTTCTTCCTCATCCTGCAGCTCTTCAGGATGGAGCTTGGTAATTCAGGTTCTACCAGAACTGTTCTGTTGGACTGAGCTCTGAACAGTTTGCTGTCCCTGACTTCATGATTCCTCAGAACTCTGTTCTGTGGAGAGACCTCTTCATCACGAAAACGTGTAATCACCAAATTATGACAGAATTTCTCAAGATTTAAAATACATTAATATTATTTTCATAATACACAACATACATTGGTCAAAGGCAGAACGTTCAGCTGTTACATAAAGTCATTTTGTGTCTGTTTTCTCAACTTAAACAAAACTGAACATTTATTAAGAGCATAATAGTCCATTTTCTAACAGAATGTGGACAATAAAACAAAACTATCATGTTTTTTTTTCGGTTTTTGTTTTGACTGAAAGCTTTAGTTTTCATACAAGGCCAACGTTAATGTTTAGGTCCGTGGTGTCCAGATCCTAGAGGATCTAGACGTTTCTCTGCTCCAACAATAAGGGAACTGCTTATAGAGTAATACAATAAAAACCTTTCTACTACATTTAGCTCTCTTGATCAGAGACTTTCAGACATTTGTGAAAGAAGTTACAAAATAGCTGAATATAGAAATATAAATCAATGTATTTTAATATTTATATAACAGTAACCTTGAGTATAAAGTTGATTCTTAATATTAAAAAAAGTCTCTAAATGTTTTTTTAAATGATAAAAAATACTAGAATATTAATCAGAACATTATATTAATTTGATTCAAAATATTTAGATTTAGGGCTGCGCAGTGGCGCAGTGGTTAGAGCTGTTGCCTTGCAGCAAGAAGGTCCTGGGTTCGCTTCCCAGCCTGGGATCTTTCTGCATGGAGTTTGTATGTTCTCCCTGTGCATGCGTGGGTTCTCTCCGGGTCCTCCGGCTTCCTCCCACAGTCCAAAAACATGACTGTTAGGTTGATTGCTCTGCCTAAATTGTCCCTAGGTGTGTGTGTGTGTGTGTGTGTGTGTATGATTGTTTGTCCTGTGTGTCTCTGTGTTGCCCTGCGATGGACTGGCTCTCTGTCCAGGGTGTACCCCGCCTGATTGCCCGTTGACCGCTGGAGACAGGCACCAGCCCCCCCATGACCCTACGTGGACAAAGCGGGTTCAGACAATGGATGGATGGATATTTAGATTTCACCTTTTATAAACTTTCAATATAAATATTTTTTCTAATTAAATCTGGTAAGCTGTTATTATATTACTCTACGATTGACACCACATACAAGACACCAGCTTTGAATCAGTAGGTGACTTACAGGCTTCCGTAGACCCAGAGGACCTGATTAAACCAGCTGTGGAGCAGAGAAACATCTAAATTGATAGTGAAGGACCAGGAATGGACACCAGTTTGATTGTTCCTGCAGAACAACATTGTCCCCATATAACTAAAACTCCATGATGTCTCAGTGAGGCAGGTTCTAAAAACAGAACAGTCCAATAGTTGCATTTGACAAGACCTGCTGAATCCTAAAACTGTCAGTTGTTGGATGTAGCAGAACCCATAGGTTCTGGAGCAGCCTGGTGTTTTTGGACAGAGGTGTGGGGCACCTGGGCTGCTGTCATGAGCACCGTCCTTCTGGACTTGGCACATCTGGAAGTTCTGGCTGCACCTCACTTTTGCAGAGGCGGTGTCATGATAGTCAAACTCTGAAAGTTGTACAGAAACTTTTTACACCACATTTTCATCTTGTCTAAAGCAGAAGTCTGCAGGCTTTACTGTCTAAAGAGCCATTCTCTCCTGAAGTCCACCACAGTAAAACGTGTTTAAAGCCACAACTGTTCAACAACCGTTTGACAAAAAGTTTTTGAAAAAATCTCCAGAAGAGGGTTATGGCCACTGGGCCAGTGGGCCTAGGCTGCTGCTGCCCCATGACCCCACTCCAAAAAAGAAGAGAGAAAAGAAAAAGACGTTAGACCTAAAAAGATAATGGGTTGTTTTAGTGTATTCCTGTTCCCATTCCATTGAAGATCTGACAGCTGCTTCGATGTGCATTTTTTATTTTATTAAAAGCTATGAGCCACTGCGGAAGGATAGAAGAACCTATCAGACAATAAAGGTTTGGTGTGGCCTAGAACATCCTCCAAACTACATGACAGGGTTCCACAAGGTCTCACATTCAGCTGGGAGCTTTGGGTTCTGGTTCTGGGACCATCATGATGTTAACCAGTTTGATCAGAACCTCGTTGCATCATCAGACACTTCTAGCAGCAGCTGATTCTGCAGGCCACTGGTCCAGCAGTCTGCCAGCAGAAGTCCAGTTTGGATTAAGCTTCTCTGAGTCTAGGACTGCGTGACAGCCAGAGTGTTGACATATCCATGCGGACACATGTCATTCTCAGACACGCAGTGTGAGAACTGGGCCGGGCCGGTACCGCCGAACCTCCAGAGCCTCCGAACCGTCACACACTGCTCCAGCAGCTCCAGAAAACGGATCCCCAGGAACAGGACGTTTTTGAACATGAACACGGACACCGGCATCTTGTAGACGTAGACCTGGAAGCACCGGACCACCAGCAGCGGCGCGTTGACCAGCAGGCCGGTACCGAACCGAGCCCACAGCCACCGGCAGCGCAGCTCCGCCGCTGTCAGTTCGTACAGCCACACCACCGGTACCGCCAGGGCAACGAAGTACACCGACAGCACGGTGTACTTTAGGTAGACGGAAGGGATCTCGGCCCTCAGAACCATCTCCAGCAGCGTGAAGCTGTCCAGCAGGTCCAGGCAGGTGCTCAGAAAGCAGGTCTGGGAGTGGTGCCGTGTCGGCCCGTTTAGATCCACCACAATGGAGCTGATGAGGCAGAAGAGCAGCGGTACCGACAGAAGCACGGTGACTTTCAGACCGGTCACTCCGCACGGAACCTTTAGCGCGATCAGGCCCAGGATGGAGGTCTCCAGAATCAGGACGACTTTGGGTGTGCAGGCGATGACGTAGATGAGCCAGGCCAGGTAGGCGTAGGTGAACTCTCCCAGGTTGCAGCCGAAGATGGAGCTCTTCTGGTGGAAGCCGCAGGCCCGCTCCCGTTTGCTCCGAGCGTTCTTCAGGAAGAAGATCCCCCATCCGGAGACCACCACCAGGTCCGTGGCGATCCACGAGCACCAGTACAGGTCGGTGAAGATGATGAGGTAGAAGTCCAGGACGGCGCCCTGGAGGACCAGGAGGAGGAAGCAGAGGGTTTTATACATCAGACTCCGGATGGACCGGGTCTCCAGCAGCGGAGCGCTCTGCACGAACTCCCCAGATGTCATGCTGCCAGCAGCGGGGAACATGGGCTGAAGCTGCCGCTTCCCTCCGGGATCAGGCTGGAGGTCTGCGAGTCCCGCCTCCTGCTCAGCTGGCCGGAGAGGAGGAGGAGGAGGCCTTCCCTCCGCCTCACGCTCCTTCCTGATATTAAAGTAGGAGAGACAGAACAAAGACAGGGGCGGATTCACGGAACGGATCGGACTACTTTAGACACTCGACAGTTGTTTATGCATCAAAGATTAAAACAATAAATAGAGATTTAATTTGTCTTACAAACTTGCAGCTGCACATCCGGTCCCGACAGACAGGTCTGGGACAGGTTTCATTTAGTCCATCTTGCCCCTGTCAGCACTTCCGGACAGAGACAATCCTGACATTTCATGCTAAGATGTCCACAGTAAGGGCTGTTGTTTCACGTGGATCAGACAGCATACCTGGATCAGGTCCGGGTTTCTATTTGGTCTCAGTCACATATGGTCCACCATCTGTTCTGTAAAAGTTCCAGAGGTTTAAAAGCTTCAACACAGCCAAACATGTCATGATGACCAACCCTGCAGCATGGAGAAAAATTACACTTTATTTAAATTAACTCTGATTTTGTTAAGAGGCTTATTTTTGCCCAAGGTCATCTTGCTGTCAGAACCTCTAACCGGCCCAACCCGGATATTTGGGATCGAATCATGTAGAACCTGGATCTAGGGTTCATGCAGGACTCTGGAGGTACGTGACCTGAACCCAGAACAGGAGCTGGATTGGACCTGACCTAGTTATGCAACGATATGACATTTTTGGGCCGATATTAATGTCACCGTTATGGCCGATAACAGATAAACTGTCATTAATGCTTCCAAAATCAGCCGATTTTGTATAAAATGAACATTATTAAAGCTGAATTTACAGTACACACAAAACACACATTTACACTTCTGAGATGATTTCATTCACTGTGACTAGTCACATGACTAAACCAATACACATCACCCCCTCACCCTCTGAAACAGGCAAACAAATGGAAGCAAGATGGAAAAAAATATCGGTTGTTAATATAGGCCTGGTTTTATCTATCGGACTGATATTTTTAAAAATGACTAACATCGGCCGATACCGATATTGATGCCGATATATTGTCCATCCCTAATTGGACCCTAATCTGAAGACATGTTTTGGTCTAGAGGATCTTGGACAGTAAAGGTTCAACTGAACAGAAGTGGGATCCACTCAGTATTCACAACAGATAAACATGAGAAGGTTCTGTCAAGATGTCCGCTATGCATGGAGGCAGGGTCCACAGCCCTGAAGCTATAGGGCCCTGATGCCAAGGTGGCAAACCCAAGACCACAAAACCACGATCCCAAAGCCAGAGCCCTCACATTAGAGCCCTTAAACCAGGGGCCAATATCAGGTTCCCAAGCCAACAAGGTTCTTAGCTAGGGGCCCAAAGCACGGGTTCCCATTCCAACAACCTTGTTGCTGATGACACCAGACCATTCGCACCTCCTGGGAGGTTCACGGCTGACTTGGTCCTGTGTTCCATGTTTTCGTCTCCCTGCCTGAATAGAATTAAAATCCACAGGAAGTCCCACCCCCCAGCAATTCTGTTGTGAATGTTCTGAGATACACAGGACCCAAATCTGAGTCCAAGTCTGGTTCTGGATCATGCCTGCTAACATGTCATTGTTGCAGCTTCCTGTCTCTATTGTTCTGAGCACATTTAGATCACCATAAATCAGACAGTCCATGCTCACCGTATAAACCCTACCCTGCAGAAGCAGCACAGATGTCCTGGACCGGGTTCCGGTCTGTGAGCTACAGTAACGGTGCGGCAGAACAACCCACAAACTTCACAATGTTTATTAGCAACATCTTAACAAGTTCATTGTAGGTCAACTCTTATCAACATAAACACGAGAGACTCACAAGGACGAGGTCTAGAAAGGGTTTAGCACGAGTGCACTGCGGTGGAGGTGGGGTCCTTTAGCTTTTAGAAGTTCATTTAATAATGGCCTGCTTAAAGGCACTGCCACAATACATGAGAGGGGGGAGGGGCAGGGCTACTGTCCATCACTCACACAACACAGTTCACTCTATTGTCTACTGTATAATGTTATATATTTATATATATTTATATACTGGAGGAGGGAGGGGGCTATAGGTAGATCTCGTAGAAGTCATCCAGCTCCTCGTGAAACAAGTCCCACTCGTCCTCCGAGTCTGTCACCTCGTCGTCGGTTCCTGCTGCCAGCAGCATCAGGAGCATCTCGCTCAGCTCAAAAGTCACCATCTCCTCATCATCGTTATCAAAGGAGTCGGTGCTGCCCCGCTCGTCCAGGATGTCCCACAGAGGGGTTCGTCTGGAGCTCTGAAACAAACACACACGCACACACAATGATTCAGTGTTTCTAGGCAAGAACTGTCTACCTGCGGCCCACCAGGGGGTGCTGTAATGCTATTAATGGCAGAGCATCACTATGTTCCACCACTACAATCAGAGTGGTTCTGGAGCTCTTTACCCGGTTCCTGTTGTTGGATCCAGGCTGTCTGCGCTGTGGCTGAGCCTCCTCCAGCCGGCCGTCAGGGAAGGCATGTTTGTAGAAGCAGTTAGACCCAAAAGGACAGGTTCCACGGCCTTCATCAAAGTATCGACAGGGCTTAGTGCTGGACACACAGACCACACAGCAGGTAAGACTCATGTCATTGTTCAGGTCCGGACTGGACTCAAACTGGTCTGGACCCATCACAGACACAAGCAGCCAGGTTCTCTGAGAAGTACTACAGTGCAGACTAGAAACACAAAGCTGATCAGGTCCTGGTTTATAGACCGGTTCACCTAACACAGACCACAGAAGCACCCAGATCTCTGATGAACCACATTTAAAATTTTATTCTGACATATTTTATCAACTTGGTTTTCTGTCTCTTTATTCAACGTCTGAAGTAAATAAACAGTCTCTACATGTTTGAGTCTCTTCACCTGAGCAGGAGTCATTTGGCCAACAGTTAGCGTTAGCTATCAGGAGACACTGCTACAGATTTATTAACCAGGTCTGATATCAGACACAGCAGAGTTGTTGTGTTGATAAGTTCTGAAGATGACAGCTGAGTTTAGATGATGTCATTTTTCTGTTTCATTTCTATACCTGCAGATTGTTAGGAACATGGTGATCTAGCCACACTCAAACAGATCCTCCTCTGTGATACCCGAAACTCACGACTAAGTTGGACTACAAAGTGAGATTAGTTTAGCTTAGCTTAGGCAGTCCCCAGGTTCGGTCCACAGAACTCTAAAACATGTGGAACCAGAATGAGCCGGACACGTTCCTGAATGGAACCTTATCAGATAACTGAACTAAGGGGACAGCGGCCAGGAGGAACCGGGCAGAACCATCTGGTGGGTCCCATTTTTATAAAGTCTTTGGTATGACCCGACCGGGATTTGAACTCCGATCTCACTAGGCAGGTGAAGGCGGAAGCCAACACAGCGTGCCTAACACACCCCTAGCTGACAGCCAGATAGAATGGAACACCCAAAGCCAAGTCCAGAGCATGTGGTGTGAACCACCACAACCTGCTTGTGGTCTAAACCTTCAGAACCAACTGATCTGTTGTTGGATCAGAAGATTCAACTGCTCAAATGATATTTATGGTTTTAAAATTATTTACAATCAACAACTTTAAACATTTAAAAATGTCTTAAGTAAAATACTTAGTGAAAACATGCGGTTTATTGGATACTCTATTTTTCTAAATTTTCTAAAGAGAAGGAGGAGTTCAGACAGGTTTCTATGGGCCTACCCCATGCCGTCCTTGTACTTCTGGATGAGTTTCATCTTGTCCTCCTTGTCCTCCACCCAGTACTCACTGGGAATGACAAAATTGGATGTGATGCGACACTCTGGACAAGACCTACGAACACAAAGGGAATATGTGGTGAGAGAAGTCGTCTGTCCAGAGTGGACCTGCTCAGGTTCTGTCTTCTTTGACACCTTCAGATAGGTCGCCCACATCTCCACCCTTTAGTGGTTCCAGTCTCCTGGATTTTCTAGAAGATGTGGTGTTTTGATGGAGCTTTGTCGAGTTTTAGCCAAACTGAAGTAGCTGTAGAAGCTAAGGTGCAGCGCTTACTGGGACCACTTCTTACTGGTAAGCTGGCTCATGACCTGCCTGTAACACTCAACTGTTTGCATCAGCTCTGTGGTCCAGGTGCTGGTCTTTGGATGGACTGAATAAATGTGTCACGTCATAAAGCATTTCAAGCTGTATGGTGGGAGGAAGTTGGACTTACTTGATTATTTTGCTCTCAAACTGCTTGGCACTCCTCCACTTGCGGATGCACTTTAGACAGTAACAGTGGCTGCAGTTGGACAGGATACCGAAACGACGCTCACTTGGGTTGGACTTCTCAAACACCACCTCCATGCACACGCCGCACATCATGTCCTTACTGCGCTGGATGGCAAAGGAGATCTCCATGTCTTTCTCATGGGCTTCGATACACGCCTACAAGTACAAAAGAGTTCCTGTCAGCAGATGTTTGTACGCTGCCATGTTTTACAGCTGGAAACTGGAATAAACAGGATTATGGATTTTACCACGACTCACATCAATCCAGATTATAATCTCATTTTACTACAACTGAACTGAGTTTACTGTAAATGTTTGGCCTAAATCACTCTGGGGTGATGCTGGGTGTGAACTGGTGTTTTATAAATAAACAGAAGTTAATCAAACAGAATGAAAGCGCTGAAACGGTTGAAGCTCGTTACCTTTGTGTGCTCTGAGCGCTGGGCGTTGTCAGAGGGATGGAGGACCTGGAGGCCACACATGTCACATACGTCACCGTGGAGATAGGCACAGTTGATCCCATAGCGACACTCTCCAACAGCGGCATATGGACAGAGTTGCTTCTTTAAGTCTTTGTTGTCTTGGGATGAACTGCTGTCCAACTCCTCAATGACGGGGACAGAACTCTCCGGCTTCACCGGCTCAGCTGCACACAAAACAATAACAATAAAAACTCTAACTGGAAAGGTTTGACTGCCTCAGCCACAAGGAAAACTGCATTTCCTGTCTCTGATTCATGTCTCCCATATCCTTCAGGTGTCCCTCAGGGAAGTGTACTGAGTCCTTTGATACTCCACCCACTGACATGAGTTGCTTTGCTGAATTCAGCACAGAGTATTCAGCACACACTATTCCATGACAGATCATCAGGTTCTCACTTTTTCCTTAAGAGTTCATCTTTGTGTAGAAATGTAAGTAAAAGTCCTCGGTGTTGTGTGCTTTCTCCAGTCTATATAGATGTTTTAATGCAACCATGTTTACTGTTCTTGTGATTAAACACAGGAGACTTTATATCTTTAACAGAAATGATATCTGATGCATTTATGTAACTCAACTCTTCACAGAGTAAAGTAAAAGTGCTTGATCTGGACAAACAGGAAGGTGAAGGAAGGGTACGATATTCACCTGTTTTCATTTATTCATATGCGACTAACGCGCCTCAAATCAAAACCTTTTACATCAGGCCCTAATGTGGGTTATGGTGAACTGATAGTGGATTTCCTAGTCTGGTACCCAAACCATTTTCAATCCGTTTCAGACAAAAGGCTGGCTCATGGGAACGCCCATCACTAACAACATGCACAGTAATTACCCCGTCCACAGTAGGGCTGTCCTGGAACGAACTCAGCAGCGTTGACCCAGTCCTGTGCTCCCGATCCAGGTGTTCGTCCACTGGGTTCAGACTCTGATGGGCCAGCCTGTGGGACAGAAGGCAGCGGCAGCGTCTGGGTGGTTGGCAGCTCCTCCTCCTTTATGGGTTTACTGTGTTCAAACCTGATTAGAAAAAGCAACCAGAAAAATAATAACTCTCCCACAGAAAACACAACGTTGAAGCGCGTGTGTAAACACAGAAGAGATGAGACAAACCTGCTTGTCACCATCCAACAGCCATAAGATCAGGTTGCCATAGAGACGAAAGGTGCAGCCTTGACTAAGACTTCAACTATACTAAAACTTTTGCCTTGGACTACCGTGGTAAAGCAAACCTTCAGAGGACCATTAAAGGTGCATGAAGGAAGAATGACATCCTGTGGTCAAATGTGGGTACTGCAGTCCATGTATCAAAACAAACCAGCTTGCTTTCAGTCCTGCAAGTGATGATTCTTCATTAACTCATTTATTGCCACTGATGACAAAAGTTGTTATTTACATCATTTTACTGGGTGGGCATTGGAACGTGCCCCGCACCGTGAGATTTAACATTACAGCTCTAAAGCTGATCTTCATCCTCATTCATCACACATCACATGATCAGGAAACATAAAATCCATGTGTTAGTAGATCATTTTGGGCTGCTGCTGTAAAAAAAAGTGAGGCGTGAACCAGAAAAGCCTCTGCAGCTCCCAATTCAACAACGGCTTATGAAAGAACGGATAACGCTAGAAACACGTGGATTCTTCCTGATGTAAGAGGTTAGTCTACTCTTTGTTTTGGTAGTTCTGACATTGACATCATTATAGAGCGCAACGTTCTGTGACTCTTAAAAAAAACTGAAAACGCTCAAAAACCGCTGGCAGCGAGAGGCTTTTCTGACCAAGAAATGGCCGGCAGTTAATGAGTTAAAAGACACGAAACTTTTCTATAACTGATGCTTCTAGAGGAAGCAGTTTTTACTTGGGTTTTTTCTCTTTGTGGGGATCCTATTCTCTTTCTATTTAATTTTAAAATTTCTTGTTATGATTATGACACTCAATACAATCAGCTGGACTTTAAAACACTCTGGATAGGAAGACCCACATCTCTCAGTAAAGCCACGAGCATGAAGCAGAGTTTCTCTATTAAACCTCTAGTCTCATGTTCTTTTAGCAGACCTTTTGCACCAGTGAGCATCTGCTTTAGTAAAGTGTGATTAATGACCACACATTTTAATCTGTAGTTTCCGGTCAATTGTTATTCAATGTGCAAGAGTTCCTCTGATTCACACTCACCCTCATTTACACCGGGTGTGTGAGCGGTGCGTTATGGCAGAGTCACGGTCTCCATGGCTAAAAGTAGCCATTATAGTCTGCAGTTTGGTTAAGATCAGAGGTGACGCAGTGCGTTTGAGACACATCCCAGAAGTGTGTCCATACCCCCAATAAAGATGAGCTTGGATTCTATTTTTGACACAACATGCATCCAGAATGCATCAAACTCCACAGCTAGGATACGACTAAACAGGAAATCACACACCGCATCAGTGTAAAGCATTCAGTTCATTTGACAATAAAAGAAATGCAGATTTGCGATTCATTAAGCATCTATACCTTACACTTTCTTATTTAGGAGATAAAACCAAAACAGACAAGGCATGGACTAATAAAAAATAAACAATTATGGGAGTAGATTATGAGTGGTAGTAGTAGCAGGCTTTATTTAACAGACATGTGGTTCAGTATAAAATCAAATAAATAATAAAATGCATCAGATATGATAAAACACATAAAAACAGTACAAAGTAAAATACATAGAACAGACGGATTACATCAAAGTGACAGACACCTATAGAAATAAGAAAAAATATATTTATATTATTAAATCATAATATAAAAAACCCATATGATAAGAAGAGTCAACACACAAGCACTTCAACCAGTAGTTCCTTAGGCTGAACGAGTAGTGACAACAGCTCACATTAGGATCAGAGATTGCTGAAATGATACTGTTAGCTGAACATTGAAGGCGTGAACTCTTTTCTTAAAAGAGCTTTAAAATTACAAACACCTGCAGTTGCAAACATCTACGGTAGTTGGCACTCCCCCCTCTGGGTATTTTAAGGATTCTTTGTGAGCAATATGCAACTCTGCATACCGCATTGTTTGCAAAATGACAACACTTGGGGCAGTACAGAGCGGTGTGACCTTAAACCAAACCAATTTTACAGAAGATGAGCAGAAGCTTATGTGCAATGGTATTTGCCTATGCATAGAGCTTACAGCGTTATCCATGTCATCATCATCGACATATAAATATTGGACAATGAGTTTCCATAGGCTCCAATAACACGTTTTTGTGCCAAAATGGGAGGTGGCCACCACCGCCATTTTGACCGTGTCACAGGTTCCGTCAAGCCCAGACAATTCCACAAAAGGGAAGAGAGGTGGAGCTGTGGGTGGGGCTGTAAGGCTGGGATCAACTGACGAAACCCAGTCAAGCTAACCAGAAGCTAACCCAAAGCTAACGCGGAGGTGGGAGCTAAGCTAACGGAGGTAGCAACCTAACTACAACCGGACTTAACTGTGCACAACACCAGAGCTTCTGAGTCAGAGATACACTGGGCTGACCGCTGGGTAAAACCGGGTGGAACACAGAGGTCTCCCGAGAGCTGCTGAAAGCCGGCAGCCGCACAGCAGACAGAAGCCGCGATCAGACAGAGATGTGCCGAGCTGCGGGGAGGCGAGAATGGGTGGAAAACATCGGTCTCCCGAGAGCTCCACAAGCCGATAGTCGGAACCCAGCTCCACCAACATGTTATATTTCAACCCATTTTCTAAAGTGCAGCATTATGTTAAATGCACTGGGTTTTACCCTATTACATTTAAATTTCATGGTTAAACAGTACATGTTAAAATCTAAGCTCAGCTCAGCAGTGACCTAAAATACATAAATATAATTTTGCTTACCGAAAAAAATGAAGTGGAGACTCCTTGGACGCTCTATTAGTGCAATTAATACCACAGCAAGTCATTTTGTCCAACAACTGCACAAAAAAAATATCCAAAAAGAATACACAAACACAGAGACTCAAAATCCCGGAGCAGTTTCCAAGCCAGGCCGAGGCTCTACTGAGGCCTTTCCACGGAGCTAGCTCTGTGGTCACGTGGGTCGGATGCTCATTAATTATACTGAATTTTAGGCTTTTAATACACTTAAACAGAAGAGTGAGAAAAAAATTCACCCCCCTCAGAGTTGTCATGAGTGTAAACTAGATAATTTAAACAAAAAACATGTTCTGGTATCAGGCTGTAAGCATGTTTATATCTGCTGTGGAATTGGCATTTTTAACATGGGAGTCAATGAGGATTTGCTCGTTTCTGACACCAGCCCCCAGTGGATGAGGGTGGAACTGCAATTTTTGGTACTTCTGGGTTGGACTCAATTTTTGAGCCGCATTGTGGGGGCTTGGTCATCATCAGACATTTGATCATTACCATTTCACATTTTCACTCACAGTAAGAACAATGTTTGACAAACTGAATCCAGTAAAGTGTAGCCTTTATCCTGGTTAGTTCTACGTATCAAGATGGCACTTAACAGCATTATATTGGATATCCTATTGTACACCATATCTAGTGGAGATATCCAGAAGCTGCTGTAAACCTGCACTACTTGGTCTGATGTCCACCAGATCATCTGCATACGTTAGATGGTTTATCAGTGTTTCACCCAACATACATCCAGTGTTACAGTGATGAATTTAACAAACGTATCATGAAAAAATATTATTTCAAAGACCAAGTTCCCTTGTTTTTCCAATACATTTGCAGTGGTCTCTAGTATAATATAATATAATATAATATAGTATATAATATAATTTCACATTTTTCTATTATTAAAGGATATTTGAAGTAAGTAATTTTGGGGCACTAAAAAAAGTGAGGTAGGGGTAGAGAGCGTGCCTTAAGATCCATTGATAACCATTTTATAATCCCTTCCCAGACCTCTGAATAGTAATGGAATTGAATCGTGAGGTGACTGAAGATTTCCATCCCTACACAGAACACATGTGCATGCACGCACACACACACAGAGTGTGAGAAAATGTCTACTGGTGAGCAGTCTGTTCCCAGAGAGCTTGGTTGAAGTGAGGAGGGGGAGGGAGCTGCAGCTCTGCAGCAGAATGAACCTGCTGAACCCAGAGGAGAGGAGATGTGGAGGTAGTCTAACAAAAAGAGCAGCAGTAAAGGATTGTTATGCAATTGTAATGCAGGCTGAAGGAGAGAGAGAGCGAGAGAGAGAGTGAGAGAGAGAGAGAGAGAGCATGAAAGAGAAAGCGTCACAAAACCAGAGAGTGAGACAGGACCCATCACAGTACAAAGAGCTCAGAAAACTCAAGATGAACCCCCACACTGGGTCTTTGTCAGTCCGGGGTCTACAGCTTCATCACTACAATAACTAATAAATACTCTAAAATAGAAGGAATCTGCAAAAGACATCACGTTATTTATACAGGGACAACGACAATGAACGCAACACTCCAGATGTCCTCGGGTTGGGAGGGACTGATCTGAAGCCAGACAAAAAGCAGACGGTGTGGGTAAGGGTAGCTGCTGGTGTCTGGGTGAGTCAGAGTAGAAAACAGGCCTCTTAAAGACCTCACGGCACCACGATTCAGGATCTTTACATAAACACCCAAACTGTTCTACGCCGTTACATCTCTTCTGTTTTTGTTCAGCTGAAACACAGCAGAGCTTTAGGTGATCATTCAAGCATTAATAACCAAAATAATGATGAATGAAAAACAGTTCTGATCTGATCATCTGAGCAGTAAAATAACAACAACAACAACAACAGAGGGTTTTAGGTTCTAAATGCAGAGTTAAAAAACGGAATACGCCACAGGAGCCATCCTCTTCAATAATGGAGACCATTATTTACATTGATGATCATTTAAAAGCGTATTCTAGTGATTATGATTATATAACACAATTTAACATGTTACTCATTCTCTCCCTATCTGGGTCACAGCCCTTCAAATGTATTTTAACATGACGAGTGGAACATCTAATCCTCCGCACCACAGTGATCAAAATGTCCATGATCATAAGACTCTAGATCATTCATTCATAAATGCATGGATGGATACATTTATGATGAATAGATTAATGATGGATGGATGCATGAATGGCTGGATGTATGGAAGATGGCTAGATTAAAGATGTATGGATGGATGCTGGATGATACATTAATAATGAGTGAGTGAGTGGATGAATGGATGGATCCTAAACGAATAGATGGATGAATGATGGTTAGATGAATGGAAAACAGATGATGACTGAATGGAAGATTGATGAATGGATTATGTGTGGATGTATAGATGGGTGGATGGATGGGCAGATGTAAGCTGAACAGCTGGATGATGGGTGAAGAGACAAATGGATGGATAGATGACGCATGGATGATGAATTTATGATTGGTGGATCGATGGATGGACAAATTATAGATATGAATGAGTGAAGAATAATGGGTGATGGTTAGGTGGATATTTTGGATGGGTGGATAGATGATGATAGGTGGAAGAATAATTGATGGATCATGAATTAATGGATGGATGAATGGATGATGGCTAGATGAATGATATACATCAGGTGATGATAGATCTTAATTGATGGTTGGATGATGGAGTATAAATGATTGATTAATGGATAATGAGTTAATTGAAAGATGATAGATGGATGAATCAATTGATGGGTGAATAGATGGAAGGATGAATGTATGCATGCTGGGGGTGATAAGTGGATGATGATGAATAGGCAGTGGATGGATACTGAATAGATGGTGGATTTTCTTTATTTTTGGATGTAGATTTAATTTTTCTAGAAAACAAACTAGAGATGTTGATTATGCTGTAAAAGCCAAACAATTAGTTCTAACATCACACGAACAGAACAGCTTCCCAATCAGAACCAGGGCAGTTAAAACTCCAGCAATAACTAGGATCCAAGTGAACAAGCAGAGGAAGTAGTCTGTAAACCAGAGCTCCACGTGGAGCTACCCCATTCTGATCAACAACATGCTGACCACAGACAGGTGGTCTCACATATCAGAAGCTCCTAATGAGCAGGAGGGAGTGGGCCATTACTAGCTGAAGAGAGCCACTTTTAGAAAGGGGCAGTGGTTGAAGAGTCTGAAATTACCAACCGAGTCTAAACTTGCACTTCATAACACACACACACACACACACACACACACACACACACACACACACACACACACACACACACACACACACACACACACACACACACACACACACACGTGTGTGTTTTAGCTGGAGGTCAGGACTTTACCTGCAGCGATCTCCGAACACACAGTTTCCTTTCTGAAAGAATTTGCATATCATAGCTGCAGGCTTGCTGCTGGACAGATCGTGGGAGTATCGGCAGTTTTCTCCTTCTTTGCAAAGACCATGCATGAAATATCTGCAGACAGAAAACAAATGTGTCTGGGTGAAAATCGTGTTCCAGTGTCCCACAAACAGGAAAAAAACAGCTTTTACATTTAAAACAAGCTAAGGACAGTCTGAACTCATCAGCTTACAAAAGTATAAAGATCAGCCAGAATATTAAACTGTAATTCTATGGATAAGCACACGACCCATACCCAGCTCCTGATGTGACCCAGACCACAGTACCTGATGTGACCCGGGGGTTAACTGGTTAGACTGGTTCATTTAATGTGAAAAGTAACAAACTCTTCAAGTGACCATTTGATCGGGCGATGCATTATATTAGTTATATTTGGATCTAAGTAAACATAAAAGCCAACCAAGTGTGTTGCCACAACAGCAGTTTAGTCGGTGACCATTTAAGACAACGGAGAAATCCGGTGACGGTCCGGTTGGCTAAGCTAACGCACAGCTAGCCTAGCCTAGCAGACAGTGTTGTCAGTCGCTCTCCAGCGGTCCCAGCACTGACGATTTAGTATTAAACGACAGGTTAAACACCCCTGGTATTTTGTCACACGATTGTTCGTCTTACCTGCAGGTTACGTGCTTGGTCCAACCTCCAGTAACTGATGAAGCCGCCATAGACGCTACTGCTGCCTCCGCCATTTCTGTTTATGTTGAGAAGCGACTACCGGATGTTCCGAACATTTCCGATTCAAATCGGCATTTTCCGTAACGAACGGCTTCAGTCGAAGACTTTTCTAAATGTTTCGTTACTTTCATTAAACTGGACTGTTGTTCTTAATTGAAATAGCGTGTTTTCTCTTGCTGTTGTTAGTATTTAGTTTTTTTTAAATGAGCTTGGTCAATGTTTTATATAATAATAATAATAATAATAATAATAATAATAATAATAATAATAATAATAATAATAATAATAATAGTAATAATAATAATGTTGACTTGTTTTATTGGGGGAGAGGCAAAGTTGTGGCCCCACACAATGTGCTGTTTGTGGGCCTCTGGTTAGTCAAACTACAATAAAGAGATTATTTATCTATAAGCTGATCCATGATGTACAAACTGTATTTTCTTAAACCTCACAAGATAAACAACATTGATAAACACTCAGTAATATTTAACAGCTTGAGTTGAGTCATACAAACAATACAACAACATCTAATGGATAAAAAAGAAAGACACATGAAGCAAGTGTTGTTTTAAAACTGTTCAAAATTTCAAAGAAAAAGTGCATAACTTGAGTTTTCACTGCAGCAACAACACTTAATATCAATAACAACAATAAAGAAAGAAGGTGGATTAAAGATAAATAAACGAAGTAGTTAAAAATAAACAGAAACACAATTATCTTTACTTACATACTTTATTCCATACCAGTTTGCAAACAAAGTGAAACAGAGAACCAAAAACCTGTAGAAAACCCCAGTAGTACTGTGGTTAGTGAGGAATTTCTTATATGTCACCAAAGTAACATCAGTTCTTTGTTTGACCACAAGATAAAAAAAGATCATCTGACTGTTGCCTGATAACCCAGTTTAATAGTAAATGTGATTCCTAATAAGTAATAAAACAGTTATATTTACCACTGGTTCATTAGTAAGTACATTATTAAATCTGTAAAACCTTTATCTATTGATTTACTGGTAACATCAGTAATTTGAGGCTACTAGTTTAGTAGCAAATGTTCAAGAACAGTAAATGTACTCCGACGATTTTAGTAGTAATCAGACCAGAATATGGAGGACATTGAGGTTTTCCTACTTCTTGAGAGGACAGTTTTCACTTTGACTTACTTTTTGTTTAACGGTCACTTCCTCTTTCTGTACTTCCTCCTTTTCTCACGTGCCATTGTCCAACGTTTATGTCTTGAGTTCAGCTTTTTGGTGCTAAATTTCATAACTTGGTTGAAAGCATGAAAAATTCTGGGAAAGTGTTCTAAGACTCAGACTGAGTAAGGCGTGTCCTCCTTCCAACAGCTCTAAACATTGATAATGCAATCCTGTTTAACTCAGAAGATTGTCTTACTGGACTGTGACGCAACCGAGGAAGGGCCGGCATGCATTTGAGACGTCCAACCAAAACTATTTATTACCATTATGAAGCTCAACTCTTTTTCTTTTCTAATTTTTCTCTTCATAACCATATTTATTCTTTTCCTTAGTGCTTGTTCTTGTGACCCGTCCCTGGCTCAAACTCCTTGTCGAGAACGTGACAAGTCCATTAAAGGTTTCAGGTGTCCATTTGAATCCAGATTGCTCATAAGTGTTATGAAGGGTGGAGGTTGCAGATGTTCCCACCACCTTCTTTGAAGACCTTACCAGATGTCCCCAGGCCACACTCAAACGGAAAACCCTCAATGTGTAATAACTACAGCCTTTCCCAGGGAACTAGAACAGAATCAGTGACAACAAAACAAGTCCCAACCACCACGGGACTGCCCATCGGCCACATCGGGTATTTGCCCAGTGGGCTGAAGGAAAATTTGGGCCAACCAACTCTTGTTGTTATTTTGGTTGATCCATTAAACATTATCAATCATGGGCCAGACCGAGAAGGTACAGCATAGAGTGGGCCCCTACCAATCAATAGCTGGTGAGCTGGTCTCGGCTTGAAATGACTGGGTTGATTTTTTATTCCAGTTCAGCCCTGGTCCCAACCCTCTGACTGCATTGCTGGAAAAAAACTGGTTGTTATGGAAACCTGCTGTCATAGAGGCATTCCACAAGGAACACGGTTACTCAGGAAATAAAGAAATAATCAAAAATGACAAATAATAGAAATCAATCAATCAATCTATCTATCATCTATCATCTATCAATCTATCTATCAATCTATCTATCTATCTATCTATCTATCTATCTATCTATCTATCTATCTATCTATCTATCTATCTATCTATCTATCTATCTATCTATCTATCTATCTATCTATCTATCTATCTATCTATCTATCTATCTATCTATCTATCTATCTATCTATCTATCTATCTATCTATCTATCTATCTATCTATCTATCTATCTATCTATCTATCTATCTATCTATCTATCTATCTATCTATCTATCTATCTATCTATCTATCTATCTATCTATCTCCTTTGCTGATTCTTGATGATTGCATAAAAAGAAGTCATGTGATGAAAAAGAGAAGTGATCTTTATTTTTATGACATTTGTAGATTCCCATCAGCTCTCAGAACTTCTCTGTCTCCAGCTCTGGATGGTTTCTGCCATCATGCCTACAAAAAGGTAATTTCTTATCCTTTATTTGTCTCACACATCCTGTACTTTACGATTTTAAATATTACAACAAACCCTGGAATAAATGGATGATTTTACTTTGATGGACTTTTCTGGCTCATGTAGGAATTTTGGTACAAAGGTGTCTTCGTTGAGTGGGACTGTTGTCATCACCTGCCTGCTGTTAGCTGTTGCTGCAAAAGAAGACAGAGGAGTTAAGCTGTGTGTCACACAGAGACAAGGAATAAAGGACTTCTCCAGTCAAAATCTGACACAAGTCCCCTCTCCTATTCCCGAGGAAACTCAATATTTGGATATTTCTCATAATTTTATCTACAGATTGAATGGGAGTTCGTTTAGTGGCTTGTTGCAACTCTGTTTTCTAAAGGCAACACACTGTGGTCTGCAGGAGCTGTCCCCCAGCGTGTTTGATCACACACCACTGCTGAAAGTTCTCAACATATCTCACAATAAGTTACCGTTTATTCCTGACCTTTCACTGAAGCATCTGAGAGTTTTGGATTTGAGCAACAATGTCTACAGCAGCTATCGGGTCCCAGAATACTTTCAGGATCTAACCCACCTGGATCTCCTGTCACTAGGAAGCCCGGCTGCTGTGTCGGTCGGCTACAACGACTTTGACCCATTGATGAACATTTCTTTGCATCACCTAATCCTGGGAGCAGGAAATCTGTGGAGAAACTATGATTCTGGTTCTTTGGCAAAGATCAGGTATCTCCAGAAGTTTTCACTTCACACAGCATTTTGTGAAAATTTCAGACAGTTTGAGAACCTTCTTGTGGATCTGAATCAAACCCAAACTAAATCACTGAGATTCATCACATTTGTTCCAGACGACTGCCAGGTGAGCGGGAATCCTTTTAAGAACTTGAGAACAATGACATCCATACGGAGTCTCACCTTGGAAAACACCTGGATAAACAGCTCCTTCATGGAGATGTTTGTGAAGAACGTGTGGCTGTCGCCGCTATACAACCTCTCCTTTGTGAACATCACTTATAATGAAGACACACCAGATGGATTCCAGTTTCCTGCCATAAATCACAGCGTCAGCCTTTCCTCCATCACATTCAGGGGCATAAACCACTACCAGTACCGCTATCCCACCATCAACATGAGCTTTGAGGTCATCTCCAAACTCACCTACCTCAAGTTTTCTGGGACAGGAATGAACATTCTACCTTGCAAAGTCATGTCAGTCCTGCCATCCCTGGAGACCCTGGATCTATCAGACAACCTTCTATCAGAGTCAGGCTTTTGGTGGCCTATGTGTTCACACACATCTACCTTTCCTAAGTTGCAGCATCTGTCTTTAAGCAAAAACCGCTTCAGCAGCCTCTCCTTCATATCGCAGAAGATGAAAGAAATGAACACTGTGGCCTCTCTGGACCTGAGCTTTAACTCCATCATCCTAGATGGGGCCTGCTCCTGGCCCATACAGCTGACTCAGCTCAGTCTTGGAAACAACAACCTGGGAAATGAGGTCTTCAGGTATTTATCGTCACACTTTGAGAGACTTGACCTGTCAAAGACGGGAATAACAGTTATAACTCAAGAGGACCTATCTCACTTCCCAAAGCTAACATATCTCAGACTCAGTTCCAACAGCATCCAGGTCATCCCTGCAGATCTGAACATCCCGGCTCTCACCAGCCTCCACGTGGACCAGAACGCTATCACGTCTCTGTCCAAGGAGGTCTTCGCTGGGCTGCCCAGGCTCAAGGCCCTCAAAGCTGGTAACAATCCATTTTTCTGTTCCTGTGAGTCCTACTGGTTTGTTACTGCATTCAACAAGTCTTTGGTTCTGTACTGGCCTTTGGATTATTTATGCAGCAGCCCTCCAGCCCTTGCAGGCCTGTCCCTGTCGGAGTACAAACCCACCAAGCTGTCATGTGAGGCGTGGCTCCAGGCTGCGGTGGCACTGCCAGCAGTTATCACTGTTTCTGCCTGCTTAGCTCTGCTGTTCTATAAGTGTGATGGAATCTGGTATACAAAGATGCTATGGGTCTGGATCCGGATGAAGAGAAGAGGCAAGCAGCGCTCTAATATGTTAACAAATGTGTCTTTCTTTTACCATGCCTTCCTCTCGTACAGCCACCAGGACTCAGACTGGGTGGACAACCAGCTGGTGCCCTCCCTTGAAGGTGCAGGCTTCTCTCTTTGTGTCCACGAGCGAGACTTTGTCCCAGGGGAATGGATCATAGACAACATCATCAACTGTGTAGAGTCCAGCTACAAGACGCTGTTTGTACTCTCAAAGCACTTTGTGCAAAGCGAGTGGTGTAATTATGAGCTCTTCTTCGCCCAACACAGAGCCCTCAGCGTCTAGCGGGACTCTCTGGTCTTTATCCTTCTGGAGCCCATCCCAGCAGACTCTCTGCCCAAGAGGTTCCTGAAACTCAGAAGCTTGCTGAGGCAGCAGACGTACCTAGAGTGGCCGAAGGACGAACGGAAGCAGCGGGTTTTCTGGGTAAATCTGAAATCCATGCTGCACGTGGCCGACAAGTCTGTCGTTCTAAAGGAGGTGGCCCTGAGCCTCTCAGACACAATTCCTCTAATCACAGACCCAGTGTGAGAAGTCCAAAGCAACACCAGCATTGGTTTACAAGCTGGATAAAATTATTATAGAGATTACAGAGCATTATGTGCGAACAATTTCAAGTTACTTCTTCTCTGATTTTTCATTATAATCCCCATTTAGTCTCTGGAAGATGTCTTGTTTTGATTTGTGTAAAAATGTGTATTTATGTAAAAATAAGTTTTCTGACAGTAAAATGTTAAAATAGTAAATTAAAGTTCCAATTGAAACATTAATAGATTGTGATTTTTTAATTATCAGACATTTAATCAAATCAAGAAATCAGTTCTCTGTTATTTGGATGTGCTGTCAAAGTATTTCTCAGTAGCATATCTCCACCTGCTGCTTGTATCTAAGATTTACAACATATGATACTTATGTGACTGATATTGGGATCAACATGATTTATTAAATCTGGAGGTAAATATGTCATCAAACGAATGTTTCTTCTTTTCTTGCTTGATATATTGTAGTATTTTCATAATAATAATAAAAAATACATTATTATTACTACTACATAGTTTTACATAAGTACTATATTTGTGTTTTTATTTTTCATTTTAAATGAAGAAATACTTAAAAAAACTAAACTAATAATTATCAGAAAACCTGTGATGAGGTCAGACGGGTAAAGGTCAGAGGTTTCAGGGCCAGACGGTTCAGGGTTACTCTGACCCGTGATCACACACGAAATAACGTCTTTACTCTGTTTTATTGAACCAGTGTTTGTGACTTATAGTGAATTTGATGTTTTCAGGTGATTTTTAATCCCAGACAGCACAGTTATCGGATAGTAACAGAAGGAGGGGCTAAAACAGATGTTCAGGTCACACACACACACACACACAGAGTGAACACCAAAAGGCTAGAATCAGTTTAGTGTAAAACAGAACCAACCAGAAGCTGAAACCCCCAAAACAAACATGACATAATTCCAACACAGTGCATTGTGGGTAAAGGCCTTTTTCTTTTCCAGACCACTAGATGGCAGCAGATATGTTTGACCTTTTTAATGACGGTAGAGACAGGCTGAAGTCTCTCTTGGCAGAATAGGTCACATAAAATCTGGTGATCCTGATTCACCTTACAGGATGTTGCAGGTCCTGTCTTACAGTCCAAACCCACAGATTACTTGCAATAAATAATCCCTAATTTCTGATTAAAAAAATAAATGTATTTTTAACCCTAACCATTTAGAACGGACCTGCTGTTATGTAGCATCTGTATTTACTTCTGTAAACCTTGCACAAAGCATGCATCGTCATATCTTCATCTGCAGATGAGTGTCAATACAGATGTCTCACAGCAGTCAGAAGGCAGGTGCATTTAAATTAGACTGTGAACAACCACTCAGAAAAATGGGTCGTAACTGACATTGAGTAAGATCTGCAGTGTGAAGATGGCCTTTGACATGTTCATCTACAAATGACTGACTTTTTGTGTCATCCCATTTTAAGATGCCTCCAACAGCCAATCAACATCTAGCTAAATCACAAATGTCTGTGAGTCAGCCAGTTTCACAGATATCGAGCCAACAGTTTTAAGTTCATAGCTGCTCTGAGCGTTAACAGCTGTTGATGCATCAGATTACACATAAATGTGAACACTACACTTTATTTTAGTTTACAAAACAACAGCCCCTCCATCTTCTCTCTGTTGAAGATGATCTGAGTTCAGGCTAAAAGGCAAGGGGATGTTATGCTTGAAAGATGTTGTGAATTTCATTTAAACAGTTTAAAGGACGTTTTCCAACAGCAGCTATTTGATAGTTTTATACCGATGTGTTTAATAAGCGCTCAGATTTCATTGAACAGCTTCAGCTGAGATTAAGCACATCTTCAGTTAATCTTTAGCCTCTCAAATCGAAGAAGACAGATGACAAACCTTTAGAATAAATACTTTCATTCTTTAACAAATAAATTATATTTTATTTCAAATCATACTTTTTCAAATCTATTTATTCTTGTTTTAGGCTGAATAAACCCGATGCAGTCATTGATGAAATACGACTGATCAGTAAGACTTAATCAGTTATTGGCGTGGGTCGTGTGTTTGACTCGAAAACGCTTAATTGAGAATGATTATTATGATCGGGTCATATGAAAAGACCTACTCAATAAAGTTCATTGGGCCACGGCCCTTTTTGGGTAGTATTTAATTAATGCGTGACTGGGGGCAGGATTAACGAGGTTACAGGGCAGGGTTTAATCCATCAAACTTGTTATTTAAAAAGTGACAGAAGGTGTTGTCTATTATCTCTTGCAGTTCCAGCTCAGAAGAGGCTACTGTTTCATTGGGTGAAGAATGAACAGACTTATTTGTTCTATGACTACTCTTCCTCTTTAGTTGTTTGAATAAATATTGTTCCTAATGAGATTAGGACGATCATTTGAATTTATGATAACTGTATAATCTGCAACTGCATGGTAAAGCAGCTGTCATCTCATCCTGTTTCAAAGTTCAGTCCCTGTTCAGAGTTTCCACGTTCTCCTTGTGCATGTGGGGGTTTACTCCAGGTTATCTGGTTGTCCTGCCTCCTACCTGCTGCAGACAAGCACCTGGGGTCTCATTTATCAAACATTGCGTAGAATCCTTACTAAAACCGTACTTAAGCTCAGCAAAAAAAAAAAAAAAAGTACTTACGCCAAGTAGGTTTGTGATCTATCAAACATGGAGTACGCACAGCTACACGCAATCTCCACTTCATAAATCGGAGACTAACGAGAAAGTTTCTCAGCTGCATTTTAGTCACATCCCGCCCTCACCACGCCCACTTACTGCCATAACTAGTCAATGCAAAGTGCCTTGTGGATCTCATGCACATACGTAAGCCGGCTGTTGCAGCGCTCCGCCTATGACATGGCGACCGTAGATCAAGGCAGATCAAGGAAGCGCAATTTCACAGAAGCAAAAATTGAGGTACCTGTGGGTGAGGTGGAGAAATGAAAGGAAGTGCTTTTGCAAAACAAATAAGAGAAAATCCACGGAGTGGCACAGCGTTGCTGAAGCCGTCAATGTTGTGAATTCTTCAGAGAGACCTGTGGCAAATATAAAAAAAAAAGGTCCAATTGGGAATCAATCCCCAGACTCCCGGGTGACAGTCACGAGCGTTAACCAGTCAGCCAAAGGGAGATCTCCCCTGTATAAAAAGCCAGGACGCATTATCAATCAGATCACAGTGACAGGACACACACTGTCACAGATGCATGACATTCTGTCTCAATCTGTCCCCCTGCTGATTTTCTGCATTCAGTATTCTGCACTTCAGGCTGTGTGTGTGTGTGTGTGCGCGCGCGCATGTGTGTACACGCGTGTGTGCGTGTGGGGGTTCTTGTTCTGTGTGAAAACAAAGCAGTACAAGTGATAATGCTGCAGGATTTCATAATTTTATCCTTCTCAGCAGCAGCACTGCAGGTGCTCTCCATGTCCAAAATTTGTGTAAGCCAGGTCCTTACTCAAATTAAAGTTGCGCACATTTGTCCACTAAGTTTTCTTTCATAAATCCCAAAGTTTGCGTGGAAAGTTGCTTACACAGTTTTCCAACCCCGTTTTGTGCGTAAGCAAGCTTGATAAATGAAGCCCCAGCTCCTCATGGTCCATTACAGGATCTACTGAAACTGGGAATCATCTGTTCTCAGCAGACAAAACCCTGTTTGGGGTCTCCAGGAAGCTTAAAGGTTACATATTTCAAGGTATAAGTATGAAATTCCTGCAGAAGCTTTGGTCTCAGAGCTGCTCTGACGTAAACCCATGGCTGTGTTGCATGTTAGCCCTCAACAGCCCCACAAAGACAACTGTTACTGTGAAGTGACGGACAAGTCTACTTTATTTAATCTAGAACAATACTGAATCGATGCACAACTACAGTTTCTACCTTTATCTGGTGTTTGGGCTCTTCAATCGGTTCTACAACGAGCCTTCGTACTGATCAAAAGACGAATGGCCGGTGAAATGAGGAGTCCATTTAGCACTACAACATGTTACATGAGACTTACCTACTTACCTGATCAGTTCTGTTATCAATGAACAATTCCACATCTGAAATCTTGGGTCTTTTATTTTGTGAATATTCAAAATAAAAACAAGTTAGTTTCTGGGATCCAGAAGGATCTCAGAGGGTGGGATGAAAACAACAGTCCAACAAGTTAAGACACACAAACTGTCATGTGATCATGTTGTTAAAACCAGTTCCAGTCCAAGGAAAACCAGTCAGGAGGCCTTAGAGGTGAATACAAAACATAGGATGGATGGCATGATCAAGGATTAATTTTTATCCTTAATCCTTCACTTTAAATGCATACTTTCATGTAGGACTGTTCTTTAGACACCAATAAACCAAACATCCAGGTGAAGCTTCAGTCTGCAGAATGGGTGGTTTGGGATTGTCACCAAATCTTCTAAGATTTGGGGAAAAAAGAGCAATCCCACCTTCTGAAAATTTCAGAGAATTAATGGTTTCCATCTCAGGCTTAAAGAGCAGCCATGAATGAATGGGTTAAGGAATGACACGAGACACAAGGGTTTGACACATCAGGCTGCCAGATCCCAGCAAACAATCAGGAATCCTTTCATACTGTCTGCTGTTTCATTTGTGTTAGAACAAATCAGGCAAACACGAGGAATCAAACATTCCAGCAACTCCAGAGAATGTGATTAGAATTTGTTTCTGACAGATGATCCTGACAAAAGTCTGGATTTTAACCTCTACTATGTCACAGAAACCTCAGATCTGAGGGATTCAAACAGCTCTCCAGGGAACCTTGTCATAAAGGGGAATGTCATGGAATCAACAAAAGACAGCCAAAGTGAAAACTTATTTAGTCAGAAATCTTTACATAGTCTTGTTTCTGAAGTGGACCTGTGATTCCTGTGAAGATCTGGTGGGCTGGTCTTCAGGGCTAACCTTTAGACCTTCAGTGTTACAGTCTGAGTCTGCAAGGGGATCACAAAGTCCTTTAGAAGTCTAACAAATAACCTTTACCTTCTTAAGTCAGAGCGAGATCTAAATGATCAGACCTCACTAAAGTGACCCCTCCAGCTCTCTGGACCTCAGAGCTCTACAAACCCAACCTTTGGATCTGATCTGTCATGTCTCCGAATGTTTTTCTGTTTCATGCTCATACACACAAACTACTAAAACAAAAACAATAAAAAAACATGTCATCTGACTTGAATATGACATTAAGGTCAATTAAAAAGTCCAGCATGAATAAAAAATGCATGTAGAAAATGTCCTCTGGGATCTTCAGATGGAACAGGACACACCTACATAGGAATGGGAGTGATCCAGTCAGATGGATTCTGTTGATTCTTCTAGAATATTCTGTACAGTGATGTACAACAGCAGAGGTCTCAGAGCTCCTTGTTGATATGGTCCTAAACTGTGATCCCACACTGGAAGTCACATGGTTTGGTCCATTCCTCGGACAGGTTCAAAAATAAAAACAAACTCTCTTGAGATTGTTCTCTAAGCTCCATGTTTTGATTGTTTGTCCACAAACTCCTGACTGAATCTCAGTCCACCACCTTTAGGTCCATGTTCAGACCTCAACTATCTCACTCTACCACCATCTCCGTGTGGATTCCATAATCCAGCTCTGCAGCTACCCCACAACAACAAAGCAATAACAGGTTAGAGTTTTTCTTCATTATAATGTCTTTAGTTCTTGAGTTTTTCTGTTTTTTAAGATAGCAGACCACAGAGACATCCATTTTAAACACACACAATAAAAAACACTGAAACCAGGATGAATGATCAGGGAGATGAGAGCATGGATCATCTGTTTCCACTGGTCATTGGTTGGTGGGCTGATGGGGTCAGACTTCTCACAGCTGTCCACTTTAGCAGACGGTGCCATTCTCTTGCCGTGACTTGGGGCAGGTGGATCTGGGTATTGGCTGGACAGAAGGAGCCAGGGTGCAAAAGAAACCAGCAATGAGGGTAAGGCCAAGACCTCCCCAGGCACAGAACATGGACCAGCCATAGCCATGGCCGATGTCATCTGGCAGGCCGTACAGGTACCGCGGGTAACGGGACAGCTCAAAGTTAATGCCAGCAACGCAGGTACAGAGGGAGATGATACAGAAGGTTCCTGCAGAAAGAGAGGAAGATGCTGATCCCAGGACAGAACTCTACTGATGTTTCATTCATGTTATATTAAAGCACTGGTCAATATGAATAAGATTAACATGAGCTGTAATTGTCTTTTACATTATTATGTTCTGACTTAATCTCTCAGGATCCAGGATGACTTAACCCCTTAGCCTGGGGTGCCTCCAGAAAATTTTGATAGGGGTGGCCAGATGAGGCCAAAGAAATTTTTGGGGTGGCACACCAAATTGGTCCTTGTGGTAACTCTGGGAGAGTTTAGCCTGTGACAATGTATTGCATTGCTCTTTTATTTGAATTATTTAAAAAAAAACTGTATGTATCCAACACTTTTCACTTAAATTTTACAAACACAAACATTTCAGAAAAACACATTTCAGTTTTTTAAAATGTTATTTCAAATTTTATAAAAAATATATCTTTTTTGCTTGGGTTAGGATTAGGGTTTAATTCACTTGTTGCTGTGTCCACAAAAAACTATGGAGATTAAAACTTTTTTTTAATGGTGAGCAGCAGAAACATATGTATTTTTTATTCTGATTACTTCTTTACTCATTGTATTATTTTTATTTAGTTTTAAAACTATGTCTTGAATAAATAAGATCAAGTTATGGTTTGAGTAAACATTAGTATGATTTTTTAACACTGGCTTTTGCTGGGGAAGGAGGGGGGGGGGGGGGGGGGTCAGCAATTGGCCACCCCTTGGGGGCGCCATTGCCCTTAGCATTCCAGCATACCGCCTGTTGGACAAAACCCCACTGAGTTTATTAAACCTGAAAATTTAAGTGGTTACACGTAACTCTGGACCACAGGAACTGGACTTTATATAAAATATCACCAGAGACTTTATTTATTTTGTCCTGGAAGTTATTTTCTTTATCCTGAAGATTCAGTTTCTTCTAGCAACGGCCTTAAGGGTCAATGAAAATGGCCAGGAATCCCTGTGGCTTTCCTTTCCCAGTGAGACCCAAAAAGAACATGTCGAATGTTAATATAACCTAATGTCCAAAGTTCATATTTCATATTAGGGTAAACCAGAATAAATCCTTTTTCACGTACTCTTGGATTTGACATTTTAAATTACAAAACTCTTTAAGGTGTTTTTGTCCAATAAATTTAAATGTTCCTGCTCCTGGTACAAAACTATCATCTGCTGCTGATTAAAGGCACACTTGTTAGTTTGGCTTGCTTTAACACCCCCTAGTATCCGTTTAGTAGAACCAAAACCTAAAACTATCTACTCGCTGTGCGTTTGTCTTTTTATCTTCTTAATCTATTAACTGAAATGTCTCCTCAGCCTTCATTAGTGTCTACAGGAGTGGTCCAGGGGTGGATTTAGGATTGAAAAAGATCCAGGGCTTAGCCCAGATAAGAGATTTTCTACTTTTAAATGAAACATTCCAACTTTCACATTTTGACCAGCAAACAAAAAGCACTAGATGACACTTTTGAACCAATATGATGATATAATAAATGTATTATTAGCTTCTACGAAGTACTGTGAAAACAAATCCTCTCTAGGAGTTTACATTAAGATTTGAGCAATGTTTGTACAATAATCCTCACATTTATATGTTGTGGTATACATGTTGTGTGTGTGGATGTGTGTTTGTGTGTGGGTGGGTTGGTGTTGGTGTGTGTGTGTCTGCTCTGTCTTCTCGATCCCCAGTGAGTCGTGGCGGATGGCTGATTATACTGAGCCAGGATCCTCTGGAGGTTTCTTCCTGTAATGAACTGACCTGTATTGGAATGTTTACTATGTAAAGTGCCTGAGACGACTCTTGTCGTGATTTGGCGCTATATACTGTAAATAACCTTGAATTGAATTGAATTGTATGCTTCCATTAAAGAAAAAACAAAATTCACAGAAATCACTGAAATAATTAGAAACTCAAAATAGAAAATATTTAAATTATAATAATGCAAAATAACTAGAATTAGTAAGCTCTGCCATTGTTCAACAACAGGAAGTGCTGCTGGCACAGTGGTCCCGGTCCTAATATTTTCTGGAGTAAAGAAAAAGTAAAAATCCCAGGATAAATAAAAGCACAATAAACACTGCTGGCATCTGAAAGTTAAATAATTATAACATAAAGTTTTTGGTGCATGTGTGCACCAGAGTGGTGATCAGTTGGGGAAATTAACTGTTCTTGAGCCTTGAAATAAAACTTGGCTTTTGAATTGTGGTTGAAATTTTTTTTTTAAACAAAACAGTCCCAGAAAAGTTAGAATACTTTTTTTTAATGAGCTGAGGGTTAATGGGAGGGCATGAAAAATCTTGAGAACAAAATAAAAGATTTAATTAATAAATTATATTTATGACATCAAATAAGTTACTTGGTCATTTTATTGGATATATTTCATATACTAATATACTTCTACTTTACTCTTTTTCACCTTTCAGTAATCCAGAGAGCATCAGCTCCTCTGTTAGTCCTTCATTCATTTTTATGATAATCATCCCAGTTTATGTGGATTATTCCCATGAAACCTCCTACATAACAATATTTTGCTATGATTCTTTTTCTTTCCAGCACAACTTTATGACACGTTTTATATAAGATTCAAAAACCTGAATCATCCCAACTTTTGCTTTCAGTCTTTTGTGCTTCTTTTAGTCCAAACCAAGCCCCATAATACTGGTATGAGAATGAAGCCAACACGGAAGTAACAAAAATTGCAGTTCCACCCTCGTCCACTAGGGGCTGGTGTCAGAAGCGAGCAAATCCTCATTGGCTCCCATGTTAAAAATACAAATTTCACAGCAGAAATAAACATGTTTACAGCCTGGTTCCAAAACATGTTTTAGCTTTATCAGATCTAGTTTACACTCATGACAACTCTGAGGGGGGTGAATTTTTTGTCACTCTTCTGTTTAAGTGTATTAAAAGCCTAAAATTCTGAACAGTTAATGAGCATCAGACCCACGTGACCGTAGAGCTAGCTCCGGGGAAAGGCCTCAGTCTGAACCTCGGCCTCGCCTGAAAACTGTTCCGTGATTTTCAGTCTCTCAACTTAGACCATTAGTTGTGCAGTTTGTGCATTTTTTTTCAATACTATTTGTGCAATTGTTGAACAAAATGACTTGCTGTGGCATTAATTGCACTAATAGAGCGTCCAAGGAGTCTCCACTTCATTTATTTCGGTAAGTAAAATAAAATTTATGTATTTTAGGTCACTGCCGCTCTCGCACTAGCTGAGCTCAGATTTTAACATGTATTGTTTAACCATGAAATTGAAATGTAACAGGGTAAAACCCAGTGCATTTAACATAATGCTGCATTTTTGAAAATGGGTTGAAATGTAACATGTTGGTGGAGCTGGGTTCCAACTATCGGTATGGTCCCCTCCCCTCAGCGGCAGCTCAGCGTATCTCTGATTGCAGCGGCGCCTGTCTGCTGCAGGGGCTGCTGGCTTGTGAAGCTCTCGGGAGACCTCTGTGTTCCACTCGGTTTTACCCAGCGGTCAGCCCGGCGCATCTCTAACTCAGAAGCTCCGGTGTTGTGAACAGTTAACTCTGGTTCCTCCGTTAGCTTAGCTCCCACCTCCGCGTTAGCTTTGGGTTAGCTTGTAGTTACATCACTTCAGTTCGACAGGTGTCGTCATTTGATCCCAGCTTTACAGCCCCACCCACAGCTCCACCTCTTTTCCTTTTTGGAATTGTCTGAGCTTGACGGAACCTGTGACACGGTCAAAATGGCGGTGGTGGGAACCTCCCATTTTGGCACAAAAACTTATAATTGGAGTCTATGGACACTAATTGTCCAGTATATATGTCGATGGTCCAAATGCAGCTGCGCCCTCTCTGGTGGACTTTAGTACTGCGAGCATTTTATAAGCAATTTATTTATTAATTTTTTACTCTTCAAAAGTCTAAAGTAGATTTGGGGCTTTTCAGAAAACGTCTGGGACTTGAGCCCTAGTAGCCAGCCCTAACCCCACCCCTGAAGTGATTAATCACTAAATTAAACAAATCAGATATGTTCATAATATTAAACATGCAGGAAACGTGCTGGAACCAGACAGCAGAACTTGACCGGTACTCTGAAGATGCAAATGCAACTGGCCACAGAGCACAGTGGGGGTCTAAGTGTCATTTCATTAACGCTGTAAAGGGTCATTTTAGCACATACTGGCTCAAGAAAATGATTTAAAAATATGAAAAAGTTGCGTAACATGGATTTATAGGAGGTCAACTGGACAATTAGTGTACTACAACACCTTTACATTAAGCTAGTTAATCCTCCTGATGCCTCAACATGTTTACATTTAAATTATGTTTACTTTATAGTTTAGACTTGTTTTATTACCATGTCTACATTTATACTTAATTTTTTTGCACCTTAAACTGGCTGTGTGCACAAAAGATGTGTACGTGTGTGTGTGTGTGTGTGTGTGAGAGAGAGAGAGAGAGAGAGAGAGAGAGAGGGAGAGAGAGGGAGAGAGAGAAAGAATGAGAGCGTGTGAGTGACTTCTATTTTAGCTATAGCTTTACAGTGAACACAGATGAGAACATACAAGCTAGTGATGCTTTTTTTCTGACAAGCCAGCTGAAGAGGAGAAATGATTTCCTTAGAGTAAACATGTTAAATTATCATGATTATAATTCTCTTCCATAGCTGAACCCTACTTTGTGTTAATAAAACTCTCCGTGTGTGTTGGACTCACCTCCCATAAGGAAGAGGAGGCCGGCCACATACTGCATGAGACCTCGGTCCCAGCAGCAGCCCAGCACACCAATGATCCAGCCAAAAAGGATGATGGCCACTGCCATGCCCATGAAACCAGCTGTCATCCGCCGCAGGTCTGTGTACAAAGAGATGAACTCTTGGTTAAAGCTGCTCCCAAGGATCTGTAATGCTTGTCTGGATTCCGCCTGGCCCTGCTGAAGGATATGCATGTATACAGTATGACTGAATCATCTGTCATGTAAACACCGGACTGTGATAAAGGTTAAACTCACTGAATAATTCTGTTTGTTGTGAGTGAATCTCAGATCACCCAATGAATAAGGGAAAAAAGATCTTTGTTGAAAAGGATTTTATCTGAAAATGCCAAACTGTCTTCCCGACCTGCTGATTTCTTTGAGGTAACTGCATCTGCTGGTCCTATCCTGACTCCAGATCCTGCCACAGGATTAGTTCTGTTTGCTGTCAGAATCAGACATCGAGGCTGAAAATCACAGAAGATTTGATGCTACAGATGTGCTGTGCAGCTTTTATGAGACGTTGCACTAAGTAATGTTAGTGAAGACATCCATATTGTAACAATTAAGTTAAACAGCTGAACAAAACATTTAAACCTCCCACTGTTTTTATGGGTGACCCTGCGAGGAAGGTTGACCATTGAGCAAGATTGATGGTTTATCCCTTGAGGTGGCAGGGGTGAGGTGGTGCTCACTCCTCATCCCTGCCACATGCCCAAGGGATAAACCATCAACCCTGCTCAATGGTCAACTTTCCTCGCAGGGTCACACCCATTAGGACAGTGGGAGGGTTATAGAAGACATATTATGACATTTATTTCTTAAGATGTAACAGTTTCATGGTTGATACAATGCATGTTTATGAAATTCTTTGCACTAAATCGCTCTCACGTAGCGCAATCTCAGCAGTTTGATTCTTGACATTTTCAGAACCTTACAGAATGAGCTGGAGAACCAAGTTGCTCTCCTGTAATTTGAACTCAGTATCCAACTCCGGATCGGGGCTTGGATCGGGAAGTAAAGCCCGAGTCTCAATCAGTCTGAAACCACGTGATCGCGCCGATTTCCGATCATGTGATCGGATCAGGACATCCCTATACAAGGCAGCACAAAATGATGCAAAAGACGGGTTTTCCGTAATATGTCTCCTTTAAAAAGCACAAGAAAACTGCAAACTGAAGAAACTATGAGTGCCAAACAACCAGAAGAGTGCTTTTAATCAATGACTAGATCAGGGGAACCCAATTTCCAGCATGTTTTAGTTGTTGACCTGCCCACACACACCTGCTTCAGTTACCTGTTCAGCATATCATCAAGACTTGCAGAAACCTTATAATCAGGTGTAAAGTAAGGTGTAAGGTACAGCTGTAAACCCCCCCCCCCCCCACCCCCACCCCCACACACACACGTTTACTGTATCAGCACACGACAGGCTCCTGACTGGCTGCTTTCTGCTCATTAATGACTTCATTGTTCAGCTCTGAAAAGCAATTCCCTCTTAATTGTGTTCTCTGCTGTGAGACCATCCAGTCATTATTTCATCAAAGGAAATGGATTTTAGTTTCTGTACGGGAATGCTCTGTTCACTCAACTGGACCATCAGGACAGAGTCTGACTGCTGCTCAGCTGCGTGTCTTGTTCAGCTGTTTTTAACCTCGTACTGATTCTGGATCAGTGTTTTATTCTCACAACCAAACAATCTGTGTGGAATCTGTGTTTTCTACATTGACAGTTTTCAGATCCTCATTGAGTTTATTGAAAATCCTCCATGATTTACGCTCAAGGCTGCAAGCATGCAGACCATTCAGTACCATTCATTTGCTCCTAACGCCTAATTTTTCAGCCACCACGCACTAATTATCTTCTGGCATTGATATTATTCATTTGCTTAATGCCCTTGTAAAGGAAACTTTGTCAGAGTCTTCATCTATATTTGTGACAGAGTTAGAGTTGTATTTGAATAAATGCTGAGCAAGACAAGGACTTCCACACTTTCTGCAGCTGTAAGCATGTGGCCTTGTCAAACAGGCTGCCTGGAGCCATGAAACGATGGGGAGAAGATAAAGAGCGTATTTTCATCAGCTCATGTTAACTGCCACTGGGAAGAAAACAATGAAGTGGGAAAATCTAATTATACAACATGAAAGAAGCGGAGAAATGGTGAGATGATGGTGAGCTGGAAGCAGAGGCGATGGTTTCCACATATCTAGTGAGAACATCCTCACATTGCACCCTGTGGCTTCTCAGACAGCTAAAGTGGGATTGCCTCTGCGGGCTGAGGCAGGGACCTGGACCAGGCACCAGAGAAGCAACAGACCAGCAGTCTGAAGAATATCACATGAATGGGCCCCACAAAGCCCCTGGCTAGGACAGGGTGCTGAAACAAATCAGAACAAAAAGGAATCGAACCGCAAACCAGGGGTAGCCAATTTCTGAAAAAGTGAATGAAAGCATCAAGCAAAAGGCCAGAAAAGGGAAACTGGAACTCATTTGTGAGCACCTGACTGTAAAGCCATAGCTCCATCAACTTGGATGTGCTCAGTCCCAAAAACCATTACAATGTTAGTCCACCATCTGTAGGAGGAGAAATCCAGGCTGGGTGCAATTTCCCACCATCATAAACTTTCTAGAGTACGGGTGTGAGGTTGAATGACACCTGAGAGTTTTTAATAAATTTCTTTTGCTTTCTCCCTCCCTCAGTTTGAGTTTTATCTCTGCGTTTTTACTGCCTCCCACTCACTGGTGCTTCCTATCCAGTCTGTGAATCATCTCAACAGCATTCAGGTTCCAGCCTGGAACGGTTGTGATTTTACAACTTGGCATCGGTCCTGAACAGAGTACGATGGTCTTGTGTCTAAAACGCTGTGTCAGAAGAGTCCTGTTTTATCAGCAGAGGCAGCAGAGAGAGAGAGAGAGAGAGAGAGAGAGAGAGAGAGAGAGAGAGAGAGAGAGAGAGAGAGAGAGAGAGAGAGAGAGAGAGAGAGAGAGAGAGAGAGGTGTAAGTTAGGGCCAAACAAACCAGCAAAGCTTACAGTTGCTCTGCAGTGATGGACTGTCAGAGTTAAGTCATCTCTAAGACCCTCATGCTTTTCGAAAGAAATCATGCTTGCAGAGAAACGTGTTGCAGCTTTACCAGAGACAAGCCATCAGTATGTTTCCTTCTGTGTTTCAGGTCGTCAGAAAACATGAAGATACCCTCCCTGCACTCTAACTCAACTTCATGTTCTTCATCAAAATACTGACTCATTCTTTCTTTTAAAATGACAAAGTTCAAGGTGATGAGTGTTAAGATCTGTGCTGACATCATTGTTATTTGCATAAGCACCAGTTAGACTGATATTTGCTCTGATTTTGCTGCAGAAAGAACTTCATTTCCTGCAGAAAACACAAAATGCTTGTTGATATTTTCATTCATCATGCTGAGTCATTATATTGTTATCAGCCACCTAAATACAAATGAAAACACCAGCATATGGCATGAACATTTTAGTCTTTTCCTTTCTGTCTTGTTTACATCTTCAGGATTTGATTTACTGTAGCTCTGGATTAGAAAACACCAAATTAACTAAAACATAGAAAATATATTAGAGGATGGAAACATCCATCCATCTCTTTGATGTGGGTTTACCGTTCATCCTGTACAGATGAGTGAACTCAGACTAGCTTCCACCAAGTGACTAAGAAACGAGTGCAGTAATAAATGATCATAAACACACTTAGATGAATTAAAAGAGAAAAAAGATGATTTAAACTGAAACTGAGGGAACAGAGGTCAGTAAAACTTGCTGCTTTGATTCTCTCAGCAGCTCTGGAACATCTGCCCACAGCAGGTTCTGCTATTGAGACAAAGAGAGACGGATGTGCCGAGACAGCAGAGGAGTGTGCTAAGTAAGAGCAGATGACGTGTCTAAACCCATCAACTCACTTTGATTTACAGTAATTGTCTACACTATTCTCAACAGGTTCAGTTACAACATCCAGTGTCTTCAGAATGATCAAACATCTCACAGAGGCCATGACTGTTGCTCAGCTTCTGTATGAACATGTAGGTAAAACATCATAAAGGCCCAACCCCATCTCCAGAGAACATCTCCAAACCACGGAAGACTCCAGCCTGTATGGAGCTACAGCTGCATCACATGTTTCCTTCCACTCACATGTGTTAGATTCATCTTTGGACTGTTCACACAGACCCTCTCAGCTACCCTGGAATCAGTGAGTAGCTGGTTTTCTAGTGGTGGCACCAGTGCTTGGCCACCTCACCTCTGTCAGTTTGCTCCAGGGCAGCTGTGGCTACATTCAATCAGTCAAACTTTATTTATGAAGCACTTTTCTTATAAGTGCAGCTCTAAGCACTTTACAAGATAAAAAATTACTCAACAAGTCAATTTCACACCCCTCCTCCAAAGATTAAATGCAATATCCCTTCTATACCTACATCTACCTCCAATCCCAACGCATGTACACACACACACACACACACACACACACACACACACACACACACACACACACACACACACACACACACACACACACACACACACACACACACACACACACACACACACACACACACACACACACACACTAGCTGTAATGAAAGGACAACTGGCTGACTACAGATGAACATGTAAAAAACAAGGAAACACCATCAAAAGAGCCAATTGCACCAGGAGCAGCACATAATAGCTCATCACCATGAGTGTGTGAATGTGTGTTAATGGCTGAATGATTCACTGTAGCACTTTGGAGTCACTGACTTAGTAAAACCTATACAAATATACATCATGAAATGGTGCAACACGTTGCAATCGAACCCAAACGCAGGTGAGTAGGAACAGGAGGCAGACAGGCAGTAAAACTGTTTAATATAAATAATGTCAAGTCAGATGATACAACAGGTAGACAAGATAAGGATCTCACAAAGACAAGCACAAACAGAGGGTTTAAATACATGAGAGTAATCAGGAATCAGGTGGGCAAGCCCAATAAACACTTAACGAGGGGAGACAGGACAACACGTCGGAGGGAGAAGGAGCTCCTGATAAATAAATATATATATATATATATATATATATATATATATGCACACAAACAC